TGATTGGAAACTAGTCAGTAACTAGTGTAATGTGTGTATCTGGTCCTATCTTTGGAGTAGACTGAGTTCTATTAGTCAAGTTTGCAATGTGGCCACCATTCCACCTACTAGGGTGGCTCGCAATTACGGTGCTCTGTGAATTGTTTGTATTAGATGGCTGGTTAGTTGGTTACTGACTAATGGCCAATCGAAAATATCCAATACAGTCCTATAGGAGGTCAATCATCAGTGAACCCGAATAGCTCAGTGGTAGCGTCTCTGACTGCAGTACTTACTGGATGACGCGGGTTCGAATCTCAGAAAGGACACAAGTTCCCTTGGGGTTGCAAATACGTCATGCTGACTGACTGATGAGTGCCAACTAGCATGAAACCTAGATCAGGCTGGGATTCTTGTGGCCGGTTGCATCCAACCATCTAATACGAACAATATTATAAGCGTGTCATGGTGAAGTAAAACATCAGGATGACAAGGTAGCTGAAGTGTAAGTATATATATATATATATATATATATATATATATATATATATATATCTTGTTAGAAAGAGGTTTCTAGAAAACTAATTGACAAATTGGTTGTTAGGGTGATACCAAAAAATTAGTAATAATCACATAATTAGATAAGAGAAGATCAAAATTTACTGTGCAAGAGGTCAGATGAAAAGGTGATGATGTCATATGCTGAGTAGAATTCATAAGGTCAAGAAAAATTATCTCTTATGGAAACCAAACTGAAGAAACGAGACGAGGGGATGAGCGTTGAAAGAATAAGTTAATGAAATTAGAAGACCAAGAGTTACTAAAGTATGAGTCATTAGGGTAATTGAAGTCAAACGACAGACTCCTTTTGGACACAGATTTCAGTCATTTCAGTCAGATTTCAGTCGTTTTTTTCGCGATAACCTCAGCGAACTAGAGAAGACTTGAACTGTTTTGTCTGTTAATTATTTTGAATGATACCAGTGCATCTACTCGGCGTCCAGGTGTTTGGTATATTGAAGAGCTTAAACTACTTGACCCCTTCAACCAGAAGCTTCTTGATACATTTTCAAAGAATCTGACGTAGGCCATTCTTTCTGTTCTTCCAATGTAACTGCTTCCGCATATATATAGTGCTTTGCTGTAAAGAAATTAGCATAAGAGAATACATACATATATTATTCTATGAATATCGGAAACAATTCGTATGCATGCTGTCAACTAATAATTTATACTCATTTATAATTTATATTACCAAATTAGTTATACTGTTTAATATCAGCTGATCGACTATGGGGTTGCACTTTTCGCCCTAGGGGGGGGTGCAAACCACACACTAATATTTTGTTATTTGCATGATAACAGGATACACATATATAAATATGTACAATATTATGCTGTATCATTTATACAATTATATAACATTCATCACTGTTTTGTTAATTATGTATTATTTTGCTTATTTCCCTTTCTGTTCAATATGCAGTTTTAAGAAATCGATTCCAAGCTATTAATTACAATAGTATCTAGGATTATTTATGTTGCTGTTGTCATTGATTTTATGACATTGCTTAGCTGCTAATCTTTTTTGTTGTTGTAAAACAGAAGTCTAGATGATTCAATGTTTAGATTTTCGTCATGAACCAACATCGGTTAGAGAGATAGAGAGAGAGAGAGAGTGAAATCATTGAAAAGCAGCCAGGAACACTGAACAACTAGCTGTTTTGCCTTCTAGTTTGCGACTCTTTAACAGCGCCTGCCCACCACGACTTTGCCAGGGTCGAATCTGTGACCTTCAGATCGATGACCCCTGAATTCCAACTTTGTCAACTGGTGGTGTAGAACTGCCCTAACCGCGCAGTGCTTTCAATGAGCCTCCACTTCACCCTGATGTATAGTGGACCTCATTGGGTACTACCTCCTTCTGGAGCTTTAGGAAATTCATCCAGTAGCCATCAGTAAACTACCTGGTGATTGATATGCAGAATATAGAATTTGTGAGGATTTTGGTTTAATTTGAATTAATTATAGCTTAGATGACGTGGACCAATAGACTACTTCTTAGTTATACTAAAGTTGGTGGCTAATAGTAAGAATTTCCGAAGAAAATTGTGAGTATGCACAGGGTCTTGATTATTGATTTTTTCCTAGTAAGAAGGGTTAGGCGTTCATTGAAACTGTTGTGCTAGGTGTTTGTTCTTCTTGTAAATGAAACTAATTTTTCAAATAGCCGGTTCCCTCTAATAGTTTGAATAAAGAAAGAACGAACATATTTTCAGGGTAATACCACTTCGTTTTATTTCGTCGACTCTCTTCAACTGCATGCATCCTGAACAGAATCAAATTATAAGTTATAAAATGCTTGAACATACTTTTCACTTTACCGAACACAAGACCGGAATGGAGTGCATTCATACATATTATGATAGAGCGTTGAGGAGGGTGGGGGTGAATCGTAAAGTAAAATTATGACATTAGCAAACAATTACGTTTATTTGAAAACTTAATAGTGCGATAGATTTATTGTTTATTTTCTTCCTTTATGTCCCGAGTCGAACACGGGGCTTCAAGCTTTTGGGGCTTTGAAGTTTCGATAATGGTGGTTTTTATTTTTCAGGGTGTAGTAGGGTTGCTAGCCTCATACCCAACCTTTCCTCTCTACTACTGGCCTTACCACGGACCGGACCGTGGGTGTGGTTGATGAGAGTTCTACTGCTGAAACACCAACACTTGAACTTATTTTTTATTATTAGTTATTCATCGATTAATAAATTGCCACTTACAGAGCTGAACTCACTATTAAGTTTTCGAATTTACTTAATTGTTTGTCTTTGTCATATATTTTGCTCATACTCCTCACTCTCAACATCTTGAACTTTTCATCATAAGATGTATCAGTTCCCTATGTATTTCGATCTTGTATTCTGCCTCGACTCAGTCCTTGTTTTTAGGCTAAATTTGAATTTAACCCTCCCCCCTCCTTTTGTCTAATTATACTATTAACAGTTGGTTCCTTTTTAACACTGAACAATTCGTCTACTTACATCACCTTTGAAATTATGTTGCTTATACTTTCTATCTGTAACTCGAAGTCACTGTGAAAAATGTAAGTTGAAGCATTTTGTAACTTATAATTTGATTTCATTCAGGATGTATGCAGATGAAGGGAATCCCTAAAATAAAGCGAGCTGATATTATCCAGTAAATATGTTCGTTCTTTCTTTATTGAAATTTAAATCGAATTGGCTAATTTCAACTTTAGACACCTAAGAGGTGCGGAAGCACTACTGACTCCTTGGGAAGAACAGTTGCTCTAAATAAAAAATGTGTTCCCCAAACCCCCAACCTGGTCCAAATCCTTTTTCTAACGTAACCCTTGCCAACCGTAATATCTCCCTAATTCAGTTAACTCAATCTTAACTTGTCCATAGCGCAAACTTAAACGTAATATTTCCCTAACCTAAATCCAGCCATGTATGCTGTTTAAATATAATTGCACTTCATTCAACACTTTTTGTCATGAACGTAGATATAATGTTATTTACCTGGTTTCACCGCCTTTCTTCTGAATTAGCGTTTCTAGGGTTCTTTTTTGTGGGTTGGGTATCTAACATTTAACCTCTCTCTATTGAATTAATGAATTTTTCGTAATACGTTACGCACATTTAAAAAAATTTTATTCCTTTAGGTTCCCAGTGGGACTTACGGAGTGAAGCTAGGGCTTTGAAGTTTTAGTAGCAGTGGTTTTATTTTTACAGGGTCAGGTTGCTAGCCGCACGCTTTACCTCCCTTCTTTACTGGCTAGGGAGCGAAGTGAGGGCTTCAACAACACACTTCCACTTTGTTCTATTTTCTGCCGTCCTCTTCAGCTGGGCCCACGAATGACCATAGTCTCTAATCTCTTCCTCACACGATCTCCTCCATGTCGCTTTCACACTGACGACCTACTCGTAGCTCCGCATTTTGATTCCACTAGAGGGATGGGCTGGATTGCGCGCAATATCATTCGATGGTCTCCTCAATGTATGCCTTATCCATCTCCATTTTCCCCTACATATTTGTTGAGCGATCGGCTTTTGCTTGATGGTTTGTTGCACTGCAGAGTTTCTTGTTGCTAAGTCTTTCTGGCTGGCTGGTCAGACATTTGAGCCAGTCAGGGAAGGTGGCATCTATTGAATAAAGTCTACAGCAACCTGTTGGCAATCCTTTTCGTGAGGAGTACGCAGTGCAAGTTTCTGACCCATATAAAAGTGACTGAGTGACTTCACTGACATTTGTTTTGGAAATCTGAATCCCGTCCTTTACGCTGGCTGAGTGCGGAAGATTCCCAAACTGGTTTCATGTAGATGAAGGCGTATCTAGCCCTTCCGACTCTGGTTGGCTTTGACACCTTCACCCGTTCCAAGTAGCTGTGGTTGAAACGATGCTTCCTAAATAAGTGTAGAAAGGAAGTAACCTCTGTTAAATCTCTCGCGTTGATGGTGATTGGTGCTGGTTGTTGTTGTTGCTGTTGGTTGGTTGGTTATCTTCATCATCTCTGTCTTCTCTATGTCCACGTGGAGTCCTGTCTTCGCTGACTGTTTCTTCAGCCAGTTTGTTGGTTTTCGCCTGGCTGGAAGTCTTCCAGTTTGTGTGACATCAAACATAAATCATCCCCGGGCGAAATCTAGATCTTTTAGAGTCTTCTTATGGATCAGCGCAGCGTATTCCTGTCTCATCGCTCCCCGTACACAGTCTGACACATAATGCAGTCCACCACAAATAAGAATATCATTTGGTGATAATAGTCAGACAGCCTTGTCTTACTCCTGTTTTCACTTCGAATTGTTCGCTGACTTTTCCTTTGTGGACCACTTGACATGTGGCATGGTCATATAGCCAAGTGTTGAATAATGGGGTTGATAAAGATACTTTTTCAAATATCAGACTACTTAAGGTAATCATATGGCGATCATTACATTCGGTATTAAAGTGTTTTTCTTTTTATTTATTTATTTTCAAAATCTTATCTTCTTTTATAGTATTCATGTTTGGGATATACACGACTTGTCAACAATACAAAAGTGTCGATCACATTTCTATCACAGTCGGGGAATATGGTCAATTGATTGTTTACCTGAACAATGGCAGCATAATAATAAATCTTTAAGTCATTTACCATCATGGTGGTTAAATGATATGTTTGCCACATGTTCAGATGACGGGACTATTCGATTTTGGAGCTTAATTGCTAATCATCGATCGGTGAATAATGATAGTAGTGGAATACGATTGTCAACAAGTGTTCCAGCTGATTCAGAGTTTGCAGGATCTGCAACATTTGAGTGTACAGAGGTAAGTGAATGGTGAATGTCTTCAACAAACATGTAGTTGAAAAGTTTTACTTTCTCTGTGATAACCTCTAGGTATTGTTACTATGTAGTTGACTGGTTGGGTTCCTCTGGATGGTAAGAACCAATGAAAGCTGAGGACAATTGGTGAGATGACTCAAAATCGTTCTCAGTAGCTGGTGCAGATGTATTCACTCCTTGTGGCTTATGGTTCTTCCATATTATTTGTTCAACGAAGAAATTTCTTTTCAACGACTTCATTTTCAAGCTGTACAGTCGTATTTATATTACAGAAAAAGGTTATTAAGTGGCACTAAATAATTGCTCAGTCAATATACGTATATATGTGATAAAAGTTATAAGGGGTAGAGTTGAAGTGGATAAATTACAAAAATATTAAAGATTGTTCTATAACAAAAATGTCAAGTGTTGTCTAAAAATTTTGAAAATTAGGAGTACGATTACGATGAGAATGAAGATGTGAAGTGAAGTGGAAAGAATTCAAGTGGTAAAATAAAATAAAAACTAGAAAGAACATTATTATTCCTTTTGCCTCATATTTCTGTTTATTATCTCTCTTTACTCTTTTCTCTTGCTTTGTGTGCTACATGGAGGGACTGTGGCGACTCGAACTGCTGCACATCTGTGCAAAGTTCCACGTTGAAACTAGGCAGTCAGTCAGTTTAGAATTGCATGTGCCTCTGATATATATGGTAACTGTTAATTCAGCCATCTGTGATGGTTAGTATGAAATGTGCTCAACATATCAAACTACTGTCCTTTCATTAAGAAATGTTAAAAGTAGTTAGAACAGGCTAGAAAAAAACAACAGGAATAATGATCAGATAGTGGAGAGGTGCATATTTCTTAAAACATGACAACCACACCCGTAGTGAAGTGTCTACTGGTCGTTTTGAAAGAATCTGAATCAAGATGTGCCGAGAAGGTAGATCGCACCAGTCAAGGAACTCTACTCAAATTCACAAAGTCTTGAAGGAGCTTATGGCAGGTTTTCATCTGAAGTGATGACAGCCAGTAGTGTCCATCAGCGATGCCCACTGTCCCCATTTCTGTTTAATTTTATCATTGATGTATTAATGAACTTAACCTTAACTGAATTCAGCAACTCAGGAATTGACTTTTTAGCAAGGAATAATCTCGTTAACTCAGAATATGCAGATGATATGGTCCTCCCTCCTAGGTGAAGACGCTGGCAAAATGTAGGGTCTTCTAAACACCTTGAGGAGGAGGAATCTTCTAATGTTTGGCATGCGATTCGCTCCCTTAATCAAATGTAAGATGATGCTACGAGACTGAACTATACAGACTCTTAGCTTAGAGATAGGGAGTGAAGTGGTTGTTGAGCGTGTTAACCGCTTCACTTATTTGAGAAGTTTCATCAGCCCCAACGGCCGTAGATATGATATCCAGCTGACTTGTGGATCAAAGGATATGCGTACTACGTAGCAGTTAGCTCCGTACTCTTTTATCACTGTGAAACATGATCACTGAGAGTAGAAGGCATGGAAAGTCTTGTTGTCTTCGATCTAATGTGTCTGTGTTATATCAGGTGATATAATAGGGTGAGCAATATTGAGGTTGGGCATCGGTCGAGTGTTAGGTAAGGTAGGGAAATCAATCGATTGAGATGGTTAGGACAAGTGTTACTCATCCCTAGCCATCGCCTTCCTAGACTGGCAATGTTAACAGTCAGTCTGTTAGGTTCTAGATGTGAATGAGAAGTTGAAAGACTATCATTATCCTGATCGTCAATTTGTTGATAAATATCTTTCATGTCCAGATTTAAACGTCAAAGCAAAAGAAGTGTCAAAATTATTCAAGATATTCTGTCAATGTTATTATTCCCCTTTATCTCTACTTCTATTGAATCGACTATTTTTTATGAGGTGTTTTTTCTTGTTTTGTTTTGTATAAGCTTCTTTTTGGTGTTACCCAGTTTGATGACTGAGATTGTTTATCTAATCATCTATCTATCTGTCTATCTGCAGTAAGATTGACGTTTTTTTGTATTATAAACAATTCGCTCCTATTCTAATTTTGTATATTGAATGAGTTTAGGTCAGTTAGTGTTATGATGATAATGATTGAAAATCATTGATTTATTAGGTCATCTTCATCATCGTCATTTTTTTTGGCTAGAAAGGATATCCTTTTAAAGTAAACAACACCCAGATGCAACAGTGATAAACGTAGAGAGTGCTATCTTTTTTTCGATCTTGAATTTACGGTATAAACGGAATAAAATGATTGACAGATGTTCAAACAAACACACAGAGGCTTTTGATTCTATTATAATATATCTGTTAAATGAGTAGTATTCAGTCATTCAGAAAGAGTAATAGGTAACTTAGTTTATACTACTGACAGATATAAGTAGTTTTAAATCAGTTACATCGAATAAGTAGTGCTTGCTAGCAAGATTGAGGTTATCTAAACCCTCGACGGTCGTTTTACCTGTATTAGGCCGAGGTCACCAGCGATAAACCTGCCTAGACACAAAGGAGAGATATCGGTAAGAGGACCATTGTAAGACCTGGGAGTACTGGACAGTTGTTTCGTCCTAGTTTGGGACACTTCGCACCGAGTACGCACTCACCACAGGGGTTTCGAACTCAAGACCCTTCTCGTTATGAGGCGAGCTGGCTGTTAGACCGTTAAGCCACAGAGACCTGATCCCAATGGCTAGCTCATGAATTCCAACTTCTGCCAATTCATGATATGGCGCGCAGGTCGGCTGTGAGGACAAATACTCTTCACTGATGACATTCGCTAGTGGTCACACCATAACATGAATTGGCAGAAGTTGGGATTCATGGGCTAGCCATTAGATCGGGTCTCAGTGGCTAATGGTCTGAGAGCTCACCTTGTAAACTGAAGGTCTTGGGTTCGATCCGTAGTAGAGTGATGGCTTTGTGCTGATGAAGAGTCACAAACTGGGACGAAATAGCTGTCCTGTACTCCCAGGTGGTTTTTCAATGGTCCTTTAACCGATGTCAGTTCATGATGAAACCCTGAATCTAATCAAATCCCTGCAAGCCAACACTTGAACAACACAGATAGCCAGATCACTTCAAATCACCCGATTTCTGGCTAAAAAATTACTACAGCAATAATTATAATATAATATAAAATTACCAATGTATGCTAATCTTAGTACAAGATATAGAAGTGTTTGGTGAATAGGGAAAAGCGCCGTTTTAATTCATTAAATTATTTTGTAATTTGAAATCACTTCTATTGTTTGCAATTCTAGTGACATAATTTAAAATATATCAATCAATGTGAAACGTCTTACAGATATCCGTCAAAAAAATGTACACAATAAAAGATAATAGTAGTGTTATGACGCTACGATGAACAAACATGTATGTTAGTAAAAAGAGTGACTCAGTGAAGATTAATAAATCTGTAGAATATAGTGAGTAGTAGTGGGACACTTGTTGCTCATGCTGAGTCGTTGCCTCTTTCGACGAGAAATGTCAGCTAACAGACGAATGGATTGGAAAAGAGTTAAGGGTAATTTAACCAAAACCTGACATGAATCCACAAAGTCTGTGAAGCTTGTGACTTGGTAAAGGAATGTTTATTTGGAATTTGGTACCTGTGTATAGCGAAATTATGTACACCCTATCTGCATGCAGTCATCTGCACAGATCCTTGTGTTAATTCTGCCCTTCGTATTGTGTTTCTTTGCCGCGACGCTGGTTCATTTTGTCTCTTTGACGTTGAATCTGTCTCTCCTCTATTTGTTTATGTCGATGAATGTCTCTTTATGAAAAGTCTCCGTCGCCAAAAATCATAACTGTTCCGAGAAAACTCTCTTCATGAACCTGGAATTCAAAGGTGACATTTCAGCAGAAATTCTTAGAGACCGCCTTTCTAGATGTCTGAAGAAGACATTTCCAACAGCCACCTTACGTATCACATTTTCCAGAAGACACTTAATCTAGTTTAACCTTAAGGATAAGATACCGCTTTTGTCCATTTCAATGTGTATTTATCAATTTTCTTGCTCCTGTGGAGTAAAGTATATCAACCGTACGCAACGTCAAGTCCACAAACGTATTCTGGAACACTGTTCAGCCTGGTTAGCCAGCAAGGGGAGAAAAGAAGAATAGCGGCAGCTGCATCCTTGAACACCTTGTCATTTCCGGACATCGAGCACCCGCGCATGAATGCTTCACAGAGCAACACAGAGTCCCTCAATATCGTACTAAGGTACTTTGGATACGCCATCTGTACATATCTGAAGCATTAGCTATTCGGGATCTGAAATCGGACTTCTGCATTCTAAAGCACTACATAAATTTCTATTCTCTGTTGTCTTGATGTATTATTTTTTAAAAATAATTCATTGTCACTTTCAACATATTACATCTTTTATTTTCACATACTTTAATCTAAATAATCAGTTTATCGCTAATGTTTATCTGGAAGTTTGGTTTATCCTTTATTCCGTGGATACATGTGAATTTTTCACATTTTCTCGTAATGTTATAAGGAGTGGAACTTCATACTGTAACGGTAGAAAACAAGAGACTTGGTAAAGGAATGTTTATATGGGATTTGGTATTTCTGTGTTATGTACTGCTGCTGAGTGAGTTATTAGAGTTTTCCCCGTCGCCAATTATGTTGTGTACTCGTCGAGTAGTTAATAGTCCTGACGCGAAAAGGGGGGAATCAGAAAACCACCAGGTTTACGATGATACTTGTATTTTCCAGACAAGGAAAATAAATGTCACACAAGTGTGTGAGTGGAAGGGTACTTAGATGTACGAAACGTGTGAACCAGAATATGTAAAAGCGTATAATGCAAAGTATATATGAAAATGGCTAATACACATGAACCAATAAGATAACATCTTACCATGATTGGTTGTAATATCATGTGATAACAAGGTCATACATTGTTTGTTTAGTTAGTGGACAGACAAAAGCACAATGTCAGTTATAATGGAATATCGATCCATATACCCATAGCAAAATATAATACACTGTCAAAAACAAAAAACACATCATGTGGGTACATATCATTCTGTGTAGCCAAGTTATGTTCACCTTATCTTCAAAATCACCATTTGCATAGATCTTCCATGTTGTACTACTTCTCACCTCCTTCATATTGTGTGTTTCTTCGCGTTCATTTCACGTCTCGCATGTATCTCCACAAGACTGTATCATTTGCTTTCTCTGACGTCAAATCTATCTATCTCCCTAGTATTTGATGTTTATATTCCGATGAGCCTTTCTTCACATATATACTACTGATAAATCTTATCAGTAGCATACACCGCAATGTGGTTTAAACTACATCTTAGTGATGCAGATACATTCACCCTTTGTGATCTGACATTTCCATCAAACCCTCATGTTTTTCCTTCCTCACATTTCTGTTCATTATACTACTTACGAAACACTTTTCTCACCATCTTTTTTCTATCTTGTGTGGCAAGTCGAACGAACTGCTGCACTTTTGTGTAAAGCTCTACGTTGGAACTTAGGCAGTCAGCGAGTTAAAGCTGCTTAGGAATTCATAGGTGATAACTACTGGATAAAGTCTATAGCATTGACCACAACATTTTCTTCACTGTGTCTTACATATACTGGATAACGATTTCACTACTCCTGACTGACATAATGACTTGCAGTATGAACGACCCAAAGGCAAATTAAAGCTTCCTAGATATCTGATATTCTTTTCTCTTGTAATATTATTTTAATTATTTTTTTCAATTTTATTTCATCGCTTTACGTTCTAAGTGGAACATAATTCTTCGGAAGCAATGGTTTTATTTTCCCGAGGGGGGGGGGTTGCTAGCCTTACTACTAGTCTAGCATGGTTGAAGAGTGCGTCGGCCGAGAATCGAACTCCTGACCAAGTGATGCATGGTTAGCGAGCTTTATACCTGTGTACCACCGACTCACCTTTACTCTTTTAATCTAACTAAAAATAGTTAAACTCAGAGAAGTGAGCAATGTGACTTTTTAAGTCATACGTGTTGGAAATAAAAAGATCAGAATGAGAATTTTTTAATTTGCATTGATCCCCGTTTTTATTTATCTGTGTGAAGTTAACACTTTAATTTTGAGAAAATAAATCCCTACATTGACCTAAGTAACAAGGATGAAAGCACACACACATAATTATGTATTCGCATACTTATCCCCGAAACAAGGAATCTTTGAAATGCACCGACCAATAAAGAACCTACCGCCTAACAAATTATGCAGAAGAAAATAGAGATTGTTTTGTCATACAATCACAGTAGATCGTTGAGTGATAGGATTCTCATGATGGAACTCGAATAAGAAACGACGAGTTGGGCTTTGGTCCAAGGGTGACATGGTGGAGGAGATCGTGTGACGAGGAGGAGATGATAGCCGGTTAAAGAAGACTCCTGAGGAGAGAGAGTGAAGTGAAGCTGTGCTGTTGTAGTCTTATATTCCACTCAAAGCCCAAGGAAATAATAATGCTTATTGAGCTTTGGTTATCGACATTTTGCCATCATCTATCTCATACATTAGATGTGACTCATTTCCAAGTATACTAAGATACAAATGGTTGTAGAGTGATTCCTGTGTGCTCACTTTAGAAAATCGGATGAAACTACATAACAATATTGAGTGTGGTGATAGAACAACTATATTGTCTGTAAAAAGTAACTGGATGTAATATCATTATCAAATAATTCAACTTTATTTTGATGACTGTCGTAAATGGGAAAAACACCAGATGCAATGATTATTTTAATTTCCTCTTATCAACCTTTTATGATTGTGTATCGGTTGCACAGCGGTAGAATGCTCGCCAACCACCCCTCATGGGGTCCGGAGTTCGAACCCTGGCCCCGACTCATTCCTTTACCTCACTAGGCTAGTAATAAGACTGTTACAGAGATAAGGTTGGGAATGTGGCTAGTAATTCCATCCCGTAAAAATAAAATAAACGACTACTACCGAAACTTCAAGCCTCCCGCTTGAAGCCGTATTTTCCACTGGGAACGTTAAGGAATAAAAAAGAAACTTCTTGTAGTACATAAAGTGATGTGTGACGTAATCGTTTCTTTATGTATTTTGTAATTGTATACTTCTGTATAATATGATTTCAAAAGTTCTTCTTGTTTATGTCTCTCTTATTTTGTTTTTCATTGTGATTCAACTTTAGCAACTTGCCGGTATCATATATGCAGATCCAAGTTACAAATATTTATGCACTAGTGATCGTTCTTCAAGTAAGATTTCAATCATTCAATAAAGCTTGAGTTTTTCTGCTTGCATATATATATATATATATATATATATATATATATCATACTCATATACATTAGATTAGTTGTCTAGCTTTTATATCTTTTATTTTTTGTTCTATTAGTTCCCTTATAATATCTGTGTGAAATCTGTATAAGGTTCTTATGTTTATGCATTAGTACACACCTAGATTAAGTTTATTATTCAAACCCTCATGACTGTTTTCAAGTGTTACTTTGCTGAGATTTGATTGGTTCCAAGCTTGATCATGGGTCGATATCATTTAGAGAATCAGTGAAAACCAAGAAAGTACTAAACAGCTGTGTCAGCCTAGTTCGAGTCTCTTCAGTAGTATGCACCACATGTGACTCCACCACCAGGGATCAAACCTAAGACCTTCAGGTTACAAAGCGAGTCTGATGACCATTCAGCCTGAAGTTCTAGTAAGAGAAGTCATGACCATTAGGGCCCACAAGGTCAGGTATAAAGACAAATACCCGCCTATAACATTGGCTTGCGTTGAGACTATTTATCGTGAATTCATAAAGTTAGGATTGATGAACCATTGGATTCTTTCCAGGGGTGTGAATTGTCAACGAGCCCGCTAATTAACCTGAAGGTCGAAGGTTGATCCTTAGTGGGGGTCATGAGTGTGTGCTGATGAAGAGTGTCAAACTAGGGCAAAAACGTTGTCCTGTACTCTCTGGTTTTTAATGGTTATCTAAGTGATGCCAATCTCATGACTACATTTGAAGCCTTCATTGCTTTTTAAAATGTCTATTCGCTTCAACTTAACTCACCCCTTGTTTTCTCTTGTAGTTTTATAATAGTTGACTATTTTGGTACATTACTGTTTATTTGTTGCTTTCCTCCCTTAAATATTTTTTGCATTCCTTTAATTTTTCTAGTCCAACTGGTATTAAATTCATGTATTTCCGCGGTTCAGTATCTCATTTGAAGTCGAAGCTTCAACTGGCATATAACTTAAGCTCCGTAATCTTACATTTGTTCTATGAATATTATCTAACAACACCGTTGTATAAATCCTAATTGGTTGGTAGTTGTTGGCTTGCGGTATGTAATTGTGTGCTAATCACAAACTATAGACACTGATCTTCGGATATCGGTAGAGTGTGACACATTATGCTAACTATTTAAACGTATTCACCCATCGAAAAAAAAACTCTCAGTTTTTTGAATTATTCACTCCTGTACTTCCTTTTTAACGTGTATTACAATTTTTAAATTTCTGATTGTACCGAAATGCTTTGGGTCTCTGTTGTTATAGTGGTTCGTAGTACAAAACGCTGAATGAATGCCTTGAAGTTACTTTGATTTTATTCTATCGATAATGGCTAGTAGTGGAATTGTGTTTCGTCCTGTTTTTGAACTCATCAGTGGTTTGACATTCATAACGCTTTTGGTTTGTTCAAAATGACGATGGATGCTGTGGTCAAGTCTTTGTCAGGACACCAACACTCACTGGGAACGATGAGAGTGGATAGGAGCAGGTGTTCTAATTCCATTGATAGCCTTCACCGTCAATAATTAAACAGCATCAAATTCTTTTCTCTACTTGTCTGTATTTATTCATATGTTTAATTATTATTGTTATTTCTGTACATAAATGATACAAAAATTCATGTTTTGACTTCGGCTTGCTCTTAGTCATCGTTGTTGTTATTATTGTTTTGGCTTTCTCCTTCACTCAACACTGTTTATAGAAAAAAAACAGTGTGATTGGCAGACTTCTCTCCACTATCCTGTTTATTTTCTAATACTGCTTATTCATCGTTCAGTAGACCTTGTTTTTATATATGTTAGGCAAGAATGAAATGAGCTGTTTATTTCCTGTCCTAATGTCTAAGTTGGTCTTCAGCTAGAGTGTGAAATTATACGAGTCGAGTCAAATTATGAATGCCAATGTTGGCGGATGTCAATTACTAAGGCAGACCAACTGTAATTATTTCACCCAACATCTGATGGTGGTCTTAACTGTCTTGACTAAAATTTTGTTATGACATCTATATATATTGTCTGATTGTATATCTGCGTGTATATATGTAAGTGTGTATGTGTGTGTGTATCTGCCTGTCCGTCTGGTAGTCAGCCTATCTGCCTATCGATTAGTAGTGATGACTAATGTTTATTGTTTACTTTTCTGATTAATTTCAAGTTTACACTATCAGAAATTCTGGTAAGTTCAAAGTCAAAGTGAATATTTTCACCCTATTTTAATGTTTGGCATCATTTAGTGAATCATCATTCGTGTTCTGTTTTGTCAATTAAAAGAAAAATATTTTAGCATTTGTTAAGAAAAGAATTCTTATGAGTTTCAAAAAATCTTCATTGGAATCAATCTCTAGTCTGATAAGGTGTTAAGTCTAGTTAGTGGCTTAGGGTCTTATGGCTAACTGGTTTCAACATTGAACTTTGCACAGAGGGACAGGAATTCCAACTGCCACATTCCATATAGCACACAAGAGTGGACATGGGAGAGGGGAGAAAAGCAGATTCAGAAATGTGAGGGAGAAAGAATAGTAAAACTGGGATCGAATTCCGCCTTTAGGTCAAGAAATATGGCAATTGTTGGACACCCAAAAGTATGCCTATATTCCAGAATCTGTTGAAGGGTGAAGATGTGATCAATACACCTTCTTCTTGGTCTAAAGCCTACCTAGTTTTCTCAGATGTGTTTCTCCTGAGCGTGTCGGTGTCACAGTGGTTAGGACTCTCGCCGACCATGCACATGGTCCGGGGTTCGAGCCCACGCCGGCGCATACCTGATATCTATGGTCGGCCTGCAAAATTTGGGCTACCGATATCCATGCTGAAAATTCCATACTTGTACCAAAAATGCGGTGTGGAATCAAGCTGTAAATAAAAAATAAAAAAATACATGACTATTGAGCCTAGTGTTTTAGATACTGTATAAGTCAAGCTAATCCCCCTGTGGTTATCACAGGAATACTCTTCTCCCTTCATATACACTGCGATATTCAGTGACTTACACCAGTCGACTGGGACTATCTCTGATCGGCAGACATTATATAATATCTTAGTCACCACTGTCACTTAACACTGCTGGAGTCATTCCATCAGATCTCTCTGCTTTTCCTGCTTTCGGATTAGACAGCTTTTGTAACCTCAGTTACAGATGGAGAACCGATATCTGCATCCCACTCAGAGAGATGTTGGGTGCTGGGCAAGTTGAGTGCGACTGTAGGTGAGTCGTTAGGACGAGTCCTACTGTCATTTCGAGATACGCGTTTAACTATTTCTTCCTTAAAAGGGACTCCGTGTCCTCATTAAGTTGGGGGCGCAACGGGTCTCATGTTTTGATATTTTCTGTCGATCTTAATCTCTGCAACAGTGTACTTTTCTTTTCTGAAATAAGAAGTCTACGGTTTTCCTTTTTGGTACCTACATTTATACTTAGTTGTATGTAGTCTTGAAGTCAAAAGAACACAAAAATTTAGCAGTAGTGGAGTGAGTTATACTTCTTCTTCTTGTTTCATTTGAATTCAACGTGTCGCGAAGTTTTAACAAATAATGAGTAACTTCTTTTCAAACTATCACTTTCGATGTTCTTTTTTGTAAGCATTGACGACTGTCGTTCTCCAAAATAAACATTGGTCAAAGCAAAACTTCACGATATCGAAAATGTGTATTCATTGAGAACTTTTGATACGATAATCTTACTTTTTGTAATAGTTTCGAGGCTTGTTATTAAGGATAATAAACAAATCACTAATATCCACAAGTACCACAAGTTTCATATTACTTTCTTAAGTGTAATCCGATACACGGCAATTGAACTATCGTAACATTATTCTGACACAAATCATAAATCATTAAAGGCAAGAAACAAATTGAGAAGTAATTAATGAGTACTACAGTTTCTATATGATTTCGAAACACAATCAAGTTACAATCGATAAATGTGACAGTCCAACATTTAAACACTCATTTTAGCGTCGGTGGCACAGTGGTTAGGACTCTCGCCGACCATGCACATGGTCCGAGGTTCGATCCCCTGCCGACGCACACCTGATATCTATGGTCGGCCTGCGAAATTTGGGCTACCGATATCACATGCTGATAATTTCATACCTGTACCAAAAATATGGTGTGGAATCAAGCTGTAATCAAAAAAAAATATTAGAGATCAAAAACGGACGTACTTGGCTTAGTTTGATTTAGTAACTGAATCTTGTTAAAATCTGTAACGTGGTGAGTGAAAAACAGTTTGTACTTCTCACCGAAAGTTGCAGTAGTGATTTCTAGGAATGACGACGCCCTACACACACACACACACACACTAACCTCGCAATTCATTTCAACAGTCAATTACATTAAAATTTAAATCTCCCAGTTTTAGTCGTTTTTTGTTATTCACAATGGGATAAAATATTGTGGTGAGAGCTGTCTGCTAGCCAAAATCGGTAGACAGCAATTTATGCCAATGTTTACGTCCCAAATCTTGGTCATGAGTAAAGAACTAGAACAAAGACTAACTCAACAATCAATAAGAGCAGACTTTGAGTGTGCGGATGCGATTCGCAGATATATGATCTGACCCTCAAAGAAGTGAGAAAACAACCAATCAGAAGACGTCGCTTCTCTGCTAATAATAACGAATAATAATGTACATAAAAATATAAAAAATACCTCTTGATTTCCTCAATAAACGATCTGTTGCCTGATCCTTGTCTTCTGAGGTTACAATATTACATCAATAGCTCTTTTTGTCGAAGGCTACATTCAATCCTTTTTCACAATAAATCAATAGGTCTCCAGATACAGTTGTATAAATCCCAGCTGAAATGGTGGAACCAACTGATTTGTGGTCATCACTATCTTGAGCCAGTGCTTGTATGATAACAATGGTTATTATTTTGCGATAGGATCAATATTTTATATGATGTACTTTATTGATGATGAATCGCATTTTGTAGGCTTTTTCACATCATTGGTGCACATTATGTCTCAATTTTAGATAATAGGCGATAAGAACAACATTTTTGTAGAATAAGATGAACTCATCATTTTTATTTCACAGAATTTTCGTCAGCTATATACAACGTGAATAATAAAGTATTTATAAGCAATGAATCTGAAATAATTCGAGCGTACTTTAATTGTGAGTAGCCAGTTCATTTTAATAAAGTGGAATAAAATTCATTCTGAAGGAAGAATAATCTTTTCAATAATTTCTCCTCTTCAGGTGTTAATTATTATTATTGTTCCCTTGGGTTCCTAGTGGAACATAGGGCTTCAACTGCATGTCTCCACTTGCTTCTGTCTTCTGCTGTACTTTTCATCTGCATCCATGTTAGTCCATACTGTTTCAACTCCTCTTCACACGATCTCCTCCATGTCACCCTTGCACTGACGTTCCACTCGCCGCTTCCCTTTCGGGTTCCACTCGACAGCCTGACGCACGATGTCACCCAGCGGCCTCTTCAGCAAGTGTCCAATCCATCTCCACTTTCTCCTGCATATTTGTTGGCTGGTGATTGGTTCTTGTTTTGTTTGTTCCTTCCCATAGTTTCTTGTTGGTGATTCTTTCCGGCCCGGCCATCTGATCTTCAGTATAGAGCCAGCGAAGACAGTTGTTGTTGATAAAGGTCTGGAACAGGCTGTTGGAAATATTCTTTGTGACCCGCCCGCCAAGTTTCTGATCCGTATAGAAGAACTGAAAATCCGACTGAATTTTGTTGTTGATTCTGGCTGAGTGACGAAGATTTCCAGATTGGTTTCAGATTGATGAATGTGTTTCTCGCCTTCCCGATTCTCACTCGATTTGACATCCTCTTCCGTTCCTCCTGTAGTTGAGACAATGCTCAATGCTAGATAAGTGAATGAAGTAACCTCTTTCAAATCCCTCCCGTTGATGGTGATTGGCGCTGGATATTACTGCTGTTGTTATTGTTGGTTAGTCAGGCGTTTACAGTTATAAAATATAATGCATTTGTAATTACAATAATGGCCAGTTATGTGGCGGATACACTTTTTAACGTAGAATAACAGATTAGTTATGGGATGTGTCAAAATAAATAGTAGTATTTGTGTGACAAACGTTCTAGGCTGAAATCGATTACAAAATATTGTAAAACGGGGAGACAATGGTGGTGGTGATTAGTCATAATAGATTTGTAGAGTGTGGGGTAGGAGAAATCGACAAGTCAGTTCAAGGTTACACTTGGTCGATACTGGGCATTGCATCGACATCAACACAGTTTTCAGGGTTATATAATGAATTCTGAAGTCGTTATCACTTACAGTTGGCTTACGTCTCCTACACATAGCTGAAACTGTTGCAGCAATGAGGTCGACTAAACCGGAAATTTGCATCCAAAAACAACACGCCCAGTTGCTGTTCCTACTGTGGCCAAACTTGGAATAATGATTCTTCTTCTCACCAATAGTGCTTGTTCCCCTTAAACCTCTTGTTTTTTTCTTTCTTTGCTTATTATTACAATTATTATCATTATTCGTCATAACTTATACCTTTCATTCAAAAATTCTCTCAATACTATCGAATTTTCTATTTATACTATTCGGACTTATTATTAGTAATATTATCTGTTTTCTCAATATATGCCTCCAGCTGTTTCCTCATTTCACACATTCGTTATTTCATTATGAACCTCTCATTGCAGTCTGACTATCTCCTCTTTATTACATACTACTTTGTACTAGCCACTCACTCACCTAACACCTTTTTATAACCTTGAACTAACTTGTCAATTAATACCTACCCCACATTCTACGAACCTCTTATGGATTAATCATCGCTACCATCGTCTCCCATTTCACAATATTTTGTAATCCATTTCAGCCTGGCACGTTGTGTCACACAAATACGACTATTTATTTTGACACGCGATAACTGATCTGTTATTCTACGTTAAAAAGTGTATCCGCCACATAACTAGCCATTATTGTAACGAAAACAAATGCGTTATATTTCATAATTGTAAGAACGTGAAGAGAGGAAACTATTGAAAAGAATATTCTTCCATCAGAATGACTTTTAATTCGTAATATGGGAATATATCACACTGATAAAAGTAGCATAACATGCTGAAAATGGAGACGAGGTAGAAACTATTCAAAAAGTTAGAATAATTAATTATAAGAGTTAGACATTACTTATTGATTGAAATGAGTAGTTGCATACCACTCAGTTACTAGCAAAACAGAGACATTATATATTTTATATACAAAGATAAATGTTCTGGAATTTAAGGTTAGGTAATTCACGCATAAGTGGAAACAACCACATAGTCACGTGAAAAGTTATTCAACTGAAATGAAAGAGGTCAAGGATACAAAAAGATGTTAGGGAAACAGATGAATATTATAAAAATAAAATGAGATTTTGACAAGTTAAGGTGAAAGAGTCAATGTTCACCAAGTTAGTGTAGTAATAAGCTGGTAAAAATCTCATTTTGCACTTAGAATTCGGGTTTCATCTTTTCCTGCAAAAGTTGTTCTTATTATGCGCTGCTGAAATTTGTCAAGGGATCTAATTTTATGTCTGTATTATCTAGATGATTCAACTAGTTGGTTTCTTAAATTCTTTTTTTCTCCACTAATCTTGATTAACAAATAAGGATTACTTACAATCTAGTAGTCGGCTTGAGTTTCGATCCCCGACCGATGTAATCCTAAACCTTTCCTAACCCGTAGCAAGTCCATGGCTAGCGAAGCTTCAACGTTCCACTCGAAACGTAAAAGAAATAGACAATCTAGTTGTTTTGTTTATATTAGTGTGAGTGTGTTTGAAATAAAGGTCTGTATTTAAAATGATACTAATCATTTCAAATGTCATACAGAGAATTTTTATACTTTTCACATTTTTTTATACTTCTTTCCTGTTCTCTCTTTATGTCTCTGTTCCATTTCATATTTTAGCTGAAATCACTTTACCTAAATTAGAAGGTAAATGGGATTTACATTATGCCTTTGCATTCATACTTTTTCATACTCCTACATGTATATATATTTATGTGGGTATAGATATATTGATGTGAATAGTCATCTTACACTTTCTCATTTCCCAATCGTATTTATTCATATGTATGTGTGTATGTACACTGTTTGCACATTTTCCGTCATCATACTGCTATAAATATAACCACTCATTTTTCACGCATGCATTGATTATGCGCTATCCTTCATTGTAATTGTTTATAAAGCCTGGTGCTCAATTGAATCAGCGATTAAACTAACATATTTAATAATACAGACCAAATTTACCAACCAATAAAAAGTAAATCACATGACAAGAAAGTTCAAATTTTAAGTCAATAAAAAATAATCAATAAAGATGCATATATAAATAACCAATCACGATGAAGGAGGTTGTCAAGGGATACCGTTTACATCATTAATGATGAATTCAAACAAGCTTGCGTTGAATATGTTGCCTAGATAGATAACAAAAGCTTCTCCATTTTGAATCAACCAGTCAGTCAGCTCAGAGAACACAATTAAATTAAAATGCATTTCATTATATTATCAGACAAAATAAACAACAACAAGGCAATCTGCAACTGCAACAATTTCGTAAACGTCTAATAAGAACTACCAAAAGTTACGCTATTGTAATGCTACAGTTAATCATACTTCTTTCATATCGCATCAATTGCATTTAATCCCCTTGTTTGTATCACAATTTTTTAATAATCATATTGTCTACTTTACATCATCCACATCGCATCATCATTTCTGTCGACAGTCTCATTGTTTTTTTGTGCATTTGTGTATCGTAATTCATTTTAAAAAATCTGCATCTGTATACCCACGTGTTATCGCTAAGCTGTGTACCACAGATGGTTAAAATTTTATAACATCAGATTGAACAGGTGGTTATCAGTACGTAGATATGTGTATTTTTTGCTTTGAATAACGAAAAATTTGAAGATTAGTGAAAGTGATATTAAAACACAGGTGTCAATACAGAACAAAACGTGTGTATGTATGTGTGTGCAATGACCTTCGAAGATCAAATGACTAGAAAAAATAAGAAATGAGAAACTCTAGGATCAAACCAACCAACAAATATCCCGGAGAAAATGGAGACGGATCGGGCACACGCTAAGGAGACCTTCGAATGACACCGTGTTCTGTTGAAGTCCTATATCCCACTCGGAACCCAAGGGAATAATAATAATTAGTGATTGGTTCATGGCTCTCAGTTTTATGTCGTAAAAAGCACCTTATGAAATGCGTAACCAAATTCTTTGTATGGGATAAGTTGTTTCCCGCCTTTGAGTGTCGTGTAGAGTGGTGTTAAAGCCACAATGCGTAAAATTTCTGGTTTCTCTGGGCGGGGGAAGTTATTTTATGCCAATTAGTCCTTGATAAAAAAGAAAACGCTTTCATTCCTCGATTATTCATTATTTCTTCATTGGTTTAATGTGTGGAATGAATATCTGCTTTCTTTACTTGAATTGTTGATTATTGTTTTATCTACCAAGTTGGCCACACATTTAAATTACACTAATAGGGGGGGGGTTAAATTCTCTTTCTGTCTTCTGTGATGATGTAATTTGTGCTCATACAACCGGTGTCTAAGTTATCTTTTAGTACGCAGATATTCATGTGGTCTTTGAATCGCGCTGTGTATTCTACAACGTGACAACATTGTACATCAGAAGGCTTAAATTTGATCTTACACAACATATTGCATACACACATTTTACTTCAACTTGTTAAATACTTTTAAAGAGGATGTAATTTATCGATCTAATTGTCTTGTTGCATGCAGCATGCCTTATTATATCATTTTCCTTTAATGGGAGGCAGGAGCTGGAAGCATGATATGTGAATAGTTTTTATCCATCACTTATCTTCGATGGAGGCATCTTTAGTTTGTTTATATAAGCTAGACTGAATCTGTAGCTATCTATTTCTATAACTTTTCTTTCTGTCTTATTTAAGATATGCTATCCGATGATTGAGTGTGTTGCTGTTGTCGATAAACTTCAAATTTAGCCTACGTTTTATTTCAAATATCAGAGTACTGTTTGTTTGAGGTTTTATTACCTGCCTTTTGTTTATACAGTTCATTAAAAATGGTGGTTTTTGTGAACTAGAATTAGTTATAGATGGGTCATCAAAATCAAGGTCGTAGTAAAAGTTGTTCCGTCCTAAATAAGTTTATCTTGACCACCACTACTCAACTATTGTCATATCTTCAAATTCAACTTCTTGACGCATAACATTCTTATCAGGGAAGAGATCTTTAAGTTATAGGATCAGATCTTCTTCCTCTTTACCAGCTGACTTTCATTAGTCTAAAGTTCGAGTACAGAATGATATCAGTTACAGAAGCATTACCTTGTAACTGGAAGGTCGTTGGTTCGATCCCTGGCGGGAATGCGTACTGATGATGAGTCCTCAACCAGGACGAAACAGTGGTCCAGGACTCCCTGTTTTTTGTCAGTGTTTCTCTAAGTGATACCGATTTTTAGTCAAACTTGAAACAAATTAAATCCCAACAAACTAACTCTTGAAAATGACTTTGACCTAGTTAAGACACTTTTTTTGCTTCAGAATGTTGAAATGGCCGTCTACAAATGGATTTCATCATGTCCTTTTTTCTTTTTACCTTAAGTACTCTTCACCATTCTATCCTAGTAAATCAAAAATAGTTAAAAGTGAAGTGTATATGTTGTTTTTTTTCTTCTGTGAAGTATGTTCATTTTGCTTCCTACAATTTTAACATGTTTTTTGTGCTAACATCTTTCCCCATAGCATGTATGCATGTTGTGTTGTCTTGTATGTATATATTCATTGTTTTGAAAGATTTAGTATGCATATAAACGTGTATGTGAAACAGTATTATTCATATTGCATCTTTCTACACAGCAATAACCGATTTGGTCGGTGCATGCTTTTACTAATAGGTCTACGTGTAATTTTAAACATTCTGTCAACTACTTAAATATCATATTCAGTAGTATGATAAATACGACTAAGTTAGTTGGCGTATGTATAATTACATCATGTAAATAAAATATAAAGTCAATTATTTCACTGTCATATCATAACCAGAATAGTAATTTCCAAAGAAAGCATAATGTGGGAGGGGGGGGGTAGGCTGAGACGCTCATGCAAGTCACATTAGTTGCAACTTGAATATCATCCTACCCTCTGAAGTTTTACTTAGGCAATATGAAGTATGAAACTAACTATATTATTCGTTGTATTCCTGAAAAGTCTATCTATGTGATAGGTTTTTATTTTTGTTCTTGATGAGTAATCCAGTCTATTTTTAGTCTATATGACTACCTTCCAAATCTCTAAATATCATTTTTTTTTACTTGTATATGTGAACAAACAGGTAATAAAGATGCCTTTTTTGGGTTCACTGTTACTACAACTAGTGATAATAATAGCAATGATTAAATTCGGATGTTTTAAACCAATTAGCTAAAGAATAAATAAACAGATGACACAATGTGGAATTCCTGTTTATTGGATATGTGTCGGTGGTACAACGGTAGAATACTCGGCAACCACGCCTGGTGGTGGTTCGGTGTTCGATGCCCGGCTGGCGCAATGCCAAACCTCGCTAAGTCAGTAATAAAACTGGTAAAAAAGGAAAGTTGGTCATGAGGCTAGCAGACCACATCCCGTGAAAATAAGCACCACTGCTACCGAAACTCCAAGGCTTTAGCTTGAAGCCCTGTGTTCCAGCACTGGAAACGTAAAGGAATAAGAAGGGATGTAGTTCTCTTATGTTACTGAGAATGCCTAACACAACATGTCTTGAGCTCATAATGGCCTCTGTGTGAAAAAGCACAACAATTTTGTCACTTATAAATTCTGCAGCTGTTGTTTACACTTATTTAAGAGCACTATTCGTGTAAAAAGAAAAAAGAAAAAGTTTTGCTTTACGCACCTATACTAGTTAGTAGTACATCAATCATCAAAGAACAACTCCTGTCAGGAGTTCAACTTGTAACTTGAGTGGAAACTAGTCAGCCGTATTTCCTATTTTTGTCTCGTGCCTTTACCTTATTCATTATTATCTTCGTATAGAGGGTCTATTACAATTTACAATTTAGGCTAACTGTTACTAAATTATGGCGTTTTCTCTTGTTAGGCACTAGTTAGTAACTAGTGTTATGGATCTGGTCCTTTGTTTTTGGTGTCGACTGAATTCTATCAGTCAAGTTTGTAATGTGGCCATCATGCCCACTAAGTGGTTCGCCATCACCATGAGGTGAACTCTGATTTGTTGTTATTAGAGATGGTTAGAGGCAGTCATCAGGAAGTCCTACGTAGACCTAGGTATCGTGTTTGCTAGTTAGTCCCTGTCAGCAAGGCGTATCTACAATCTTGAAGGGATTCATCTCTCTTCTGAGAATCGTGCTGAAGTCAAAGACGTTACCACTGAACTATTTAGTCGCAAGCCTATATTTTCATATATCTTCTTTTTTTGAAGCTTTTTCCTGACTCTTGGTTACTCAACAAGTCACAGGATTGTGATAGTGTTGCATTGCTGTAAAATTCTATAAGCATATTCATCTACACTTAGGTAGTTAAGTACTCGTCAGTGGCACAGCAGTAGAATACTCACTCACCAACCATGCCTCATGTGGTCCCGGGTTCGATTCCCGGTCAATGCAATCCTTCACCTCGCTAAGCCAGTAATATGTGAGTGGTAAGGAAGGACGGAAGGTTGGACATGAGGCTAGCAATCCCATCCCCGTAAAAATAAAATAAACACCACTACTACCGAAACTTCAAACCTCTAGCTTGAAGCCTCCCTATGTTCCACTGGGAATGTCAAGGAATAAAAGAAACTCTCTGTATTATATATAAGCGCAATTATCTAGTTTGTATAATAAAAAGGAGGGTAGGAGTAATACTCACTCAATTACGGAAATTTGAGCTTTCTATGCTTTTCATTAAAGTAGTAAGTTAAATATTTATTCTTTCTCACTGTCATAGATATTTATCTCTCATTTCACACTACGGGTTCTCATTAAGACATGCCACCTTTTTAACAGAATAAGCAACCGACAATATACTTTGTGAAAAGTGTAATGAGTCATGATGTTTACTGAAAAGTGAGACATATAGTTACAATTTTTAAGTAAGCGTAAGAGTAATCAAAGACAGTTTATAAATGATACGCAAATATAAATTGAGATGATGCAGAGTGATCATATAGTCTGAACTGTGGTCGATTTCACAGATTCATGTTATAACTAACTGACTGGTTTCAACATAGAACTCAGCACAAAAGTGAGACAGAAATGTGAGAGAGAAAGAACAGTAACATCGAGATACAATAGGGCTTTTTTGGATATGACAGATCGGAAAGGGTGATGAATGCATCTGCGCCACTGAGAAAAATTTTGAATCATATCATCAACAGTCTCCAGCCATTGATTCTTATCATCCCGAGGGGATTCCAACCTGGAGGCCTACATCTCCCTACTTGTCTGACTTAACCTAACTGTCAAAAATTTCATGAAGTGACTCCAACTTTCGATTTGACCACCACTAGCTTTCTCTTTTCCAACCTGATTCTATGTCAGCTACCATTGACCATCGAGGAGGACGGCGGCTAGGCAGGCAGGCAGGCATGCGTCATACATATCTTAGCTATCTGAATCTATGTACTTTAACAACCTCAACGGTAGATTTTCCCTCCTGACCTAATACTCGACGGTTGATGTCAACATTACCTACCCTACTATACCAACTAACATGGAGACAGAACGCAGACACACCTTTTCGTATCTTATACTTCCAATGGCCATTTGTCACAGCTATAAAGGAAGATGGGACGAAACGTTTTAATGACTCATTAGTCACCAACTCCTTATTGGAATGCCACACAAAATTGAACCATAAAAGTTCTGTTTACATCTGCTGAAAATTTCTATGAGGCAAAAATTAGGATCACTAACATATCCTTTGAAGTAAATGAAAGCGCAAAACATATGAAATCATTTCAAAAGGTAATACTCGAATTGAAGAAACTAAACCTTACCTAGAAAATAAATGGTGGCATCTCTGGACACCACATCTAATAATCTAATCTTTCTTTAATCAAAAGTCTCCCTCAATTGCGTATTTTTTTTCAGTAGTTTTAAGCAAAGATATTTCAGTACACCCCTGACTTCATTATCTTTACTTTAGTATGTGGAGAAGCTTTATGCATGCATTGTACTGAAATTAGAATAATTCATCTCAAAATACAGAAATGTGAAGAAAAAATTTGAATTTAGCGTGTATAACAAACATTATTTTGCCCGAATTACTTTATCTCAATGTGTTCATACGTTAACCTGTTTATAAGAGATAAATAGGGTAATTAAAATGGCTCCTAAATTGTGTCCTACATTTTTGACAAATAATTTCCCTACAGGGAATTTTTATGCCTTCATTTGTTATACTGTAGTTTAATCTATCTTTCCTGTATATTTGTTACGCGTCAAACTCATTGGCAAAAATAATAGTCGTGTACATCCTCTCAAGTTATTATTAGTATTATGTATTATTGTTTCCTTTAGTTCCTGGAGGAACAAAAATAGGGCTTCAGCCAAACGTCTCCATTGCGTTCGGTTCTCTGCCAATGTTTTCATCACCTGGCTCCGCGTCTACCCATATGCTTTCATCTCCTCTTCACATGAACTCCTCCACTCCATGTTACCCTCTCACTGACGACCAACTCACCGCTTCCCTTTCGGGTTCCACTCGAGCGATGGCCTGTCTAGTGATGTCACTTGATGGTTCCCTCAGAGTATGGTCAATCCATCTCCATTTCTTCCTGCTTATTCGTTGCACAATCGGTTCCTGCTGGGTTGGTTCGCTCCCAGAGACCCCTCTCTATTGCCGATCTTCTCTGACCGGCCATCTGGTCTTGAGTATTGGGCGAAGACAGCTGTTGATGGAGGTCTGTAGTTTATTTGAGGTGCTCTTCTTGACGCGCCAAGTCTGTATCCGCGTTTTCTTCTAGTTGAAACGATGCTACCTGGATGAGTGAAGGAAATGGCCTCTTTCAGATTTCTTCCGTTGATAATGATTCATACTTGTTGTTGGTGATGATCAGATATTAGATGATTGGAGGCAATCGACAGGAAGCCTTGCCCTAGACCCAGGTTTCGGGCTTGTTGGCACTCCCAATCAGCAAAGCGTATCTGAAATCTCCAGGGGAACTCACTTCACTTCTGAGATTCGAATCTAAGTAACCCAGTGGCGCCTGTAGTCTGAGACGTTACCACCGAGCTATTCAGGCTCGTGATTAACCTCCTCCTGTAGGATTGTATTAAATATTTTTGATTGGACACTAGTCAGTAACTAGTGTAAAGTGTGAGTGTTCCTAGTCCCATCTTCGTGTAGACTGAATTCTATCAATCAGTCAAGTTTGCAATGTGGTCACCAGGTCTTCTAGAGTCGTCTTATCAGCCCACTGTATGCGCTTGTCTTCTCACTAAGGAGATTAGGCATATGACACAGGTCTTTGCTTTTATTCACTATAAAAATCGATTTCATTCATGCATGATACACTTTAAGTCTGTGGAAATATATAATGTCACTTTTGTTTTCATCAAAAGCCTGCTATTGTTGTCTTATCTTGTAGGTAATAGCTTGTTTCCAGATGGAACTTATCTATAATCTTGCATTCATGTTTGCTTGTATGCATGATAGTTCATGTTATTATTATTATTATTATTACTAGCTTCGTACGTTTTAAAAGCATTGTTTCTAACCACTTTCTTTTGTAACTCTAAATCTTTTAATATCTTCTGAAGACTTCATTATAACTAATATTTACTCTTACCTTTCATAAATGAGAAGATTGACAGAGTTGTAGTTACTCCTGTGTCTCTTTTCATCTTTTTCATCTAATGCAAAAGCTGCCTACTATCGCCAATGATTTTTCCTTGATTGTGGTAGATTGTATAATGCGACAGACAGCGGGCAGCGAGGAAACAGTATAAAATGGACCCTCACGAAAAACTTGGAGGATCTGGACTTCGCCGATGATGACATATGTCTGATTTCCCACAAACTGGAAGATATCGAAGTGAAAAGCAATAAGTTGGAGGTAGAAAAAGCATTAAAGATAGGACTGCAAGTAAACACAGAGAAAACAGAGGTGATGAAGCTTCCTGGCCACCAGCAACAACAACAGACAACAATCAGCCAGCATAAATGGGAGGAATCTGAAAGAAGCAACCGCCTTTAGCTACCTGGGAAGCATCGTTTCAACTGCAGGCGGAACTGATGAGGATATCAAAGCGAGAATTGGGAAAGCAAGACAAGCTTTCATTACTCTTAAGTCTGTGTGGAGGTCAACAGCACTCAGAATCAAAAATAACATCCGAATTTTGAACTCCAATGTGAAGTCAGTGCTACTTTATGAATCAGATACTTAGCGCCGTGTCACGAAGGCCACATCGAACAAACTACAGATCTTCATCAACAGCTGTGTCTTCGTTCAACTACTCAAGACCAGATGGCCAGTCAGAGAAGATCGGCAATAGAGAGGGGTCTCTCGGAGCGAACCAACCCAGCAGGAACCGATTGTGCAACGAATAAGCATGAAGAAATGGAGATGGATTGGCCATACTCTGAGGGAACCATCAAGTGACATCACTAGACAGGCCATCGCTCGAGTGGAACCCGAAAGGGAAGTGGTGAGTTGGTCGTCAGTGAGAGGGTGACATGGAGTGGAGGAGTTCATGTGAAGAGAAGGTGAAAGCATGTGGGCAGACGTGGAGTCAGATGATAAAAACGTTGGCAGAGAACCGAACGCCATGGAGACGTTTGGCTGAAGTCCTATGTTTCTCTAGGAATTAAAGGAAATCATAATAATAATCTAATCCAATGGTTCTTAATACCTTCTGAAATGGTTAAACCCGTCATTTGGAGTACCGTTTTATCAAGTGTACATTCTATTCAGTCCTCGATACAGTTAACTTAAGCATTTGATATGTTCTTTACATGACATAAGGTAATGTTATCAGCTAGAATACTTTTTCCTTCTTTAATTTTCTGAATAAAAGTCTTAAATCATGTAAGCTATAGCAACTAATCTCGAACCATTCGAGTATTTTTACAGGTTTAAAGAGTGTCAGCTATTTTCCCTATGTGCTATGTGAATGATGGGTTTCTATTTTCAGCCTAACAACAAAGTTCACATCTCTATATAGTTGATAATTGCTTTGTTCGTTTGCTTGTTTGTTTGTTTTTCTCTTGCTTGAAAGCTTTTTATTGATCCATATTTATCTCATATTTTCCTAGGTGGAGTAGGTCCATTAGGTGGGCCAGGTTTTGTACCTGGTACAAATGATATTGGACAAATTGACTCAGCGCTTCAATCACCAGTATCGCCATCACGTCCTTCATTCAGTGAGCATTGTCAATTGATTTCTGCTTCAAATTGTACAACTACTGCCGGCAATAGTAACAATATTTCTTCTGGATCACCATCGTCTTGTGTACGTACAATATGTATTAGTCCAGATGGTCGTCATTTAGCGGCTGGTGATCGGGATGGTAGTTTAAGGTAGGCGATCTATTTGTCCACAGATTATAATTTTATCATTGTTGTTTCAACTAACTAGGAATGAAAGTTTTTGATGTGGTTGTGTTCTCTAAGCTGGTTGGATGGTTTATTTGCGAAGCTTTCATCGCCCTACTAGGCGACATCTTCAGCGAATACTTCAACGTGTTGAAGTGAGTTTTTAGATTTCTCCACGAGTTTATTAATTATCTCTCCTGGTGGGTGACCTTGGACGTGATTGGTTGTTTTTGTGTGTTTTCACACCTTCTTCTATTGGAACTGATTGTTTCTTTGACTTGAACCTTGACCCTTTATGTGTGAGGTTTCTTTCTTATCGGTTGATAAATGGAAAAATCTAAAAGCTCACTTCAAATTGAAATATGCGCTGAAGATGTCACCTCTATCATAGGAACGAAAGTGTTTTCTGATTCAAAATGGTATAGTATTCATTGTTTGTAATGACTTGTATTTATGATGTACTACGCCCTATTGATTGACTGATTGACATGAGTAGTTGAATACTACTCACACTGACCGTTAGAACTTGCTAGTCAAATCGATAACCGTATCGCCGGACTTGGTTTGATTCACCTGAAAGTTGCGAATCATTTCAAACTATTCGAATCTCGGTTATCTATTTAGGCGAACTGGTAATACAATAAATTCAATTTGCAATTTGTAATGTACACACAGTTCGAGGTGAAATTTCGCCGCAGATCACAATATATGATTTGCTTAATAATATAAGTGGTAATCATGAAAGCTAATTGGATTCTAATCGCCGTTAAATATAACCTGTTACTGGCGATAACTGATCATTGCTCCCTATTTTAATGTGATAAAAATATTTGGCGTAATAAATAACTGTTTTTCTGGAGGTATTGCCGGTCATGATTAGATGTATGAAGAAAAGTCAAGACTGGACCTTATGTCTTCTGGATTCAACCATTTTTGGGAGTGGGTTTCTTTTATTGAGACTATGTCTAAAAACTTCTGGTGAATGCCATTAACTTCACATACATATGCACAAACCAAATAGATTTCATATCAATCTCAAGAAAGTGGAGACACACGCAGCCTGCTGGATACAAAGTAGAGACGGGGAGCAGATATGGCTCAAACCGTCATCTAGTTCAATGAATATTCAAGGTGAAGCTGAAATCCTTGAAAAAAATGATGACAGACCATAATTCAAGTTCAACATTCAGAAACTGAAGGACAAAACTACAAGGGATGCCTTCGCTACAGATCAGATGAGAGCAAAGTTGAAGACACTATATGGCATCACTGAGGAAACCGGTGTGGAAGAACATTGGAACTTTCAGAAAGTGATATTTAAGGAAACGTGTACAACTGTTCTAGGAATAAGGATGAGACAAGACAAGGAATGGCTGTCAACGGATACCTGGAAGCTAATCGAAGAGAGGAGAGGAGGATGATGAAAGAGAAGATGACTCAATGCAAAGATGGACAACAGAAGGAGAAGCTGAGTTCAATGTACACTGCACTGAATAAAGAAGTGAAGAATAATAATTAACTTGACAACATTGTCTCCCGAACTGATGAAAGAAACTAAGTGTCTTTACACTTTTTTCACAGGGAAGATGAGTAATTCATCTCCTTTTTTCTAGTTCACCATACATTAGTTTTCAAGGCTTCAAGGTGTTCTGCAATGATTTCCATTTCGTATAATTTTTTGACCGTCAATATTAATTAGGGGCCTCATAGTTGTTGACTTGGACTGACTGGCTTACTTTCACCAAAGAAATTTGCACCCTCCATGTAGCACACAGAAGCAGACAAAGAAAAAAAAAGATTCAAAAGATCTAAGATGACCCAAAATGTATAGGAGAGAGAACAGTAACCAGAAAAAAAACATGACGGTTTAGTGGATATGGGAAAACACAAAGAGTGAATTCATCTGAACCATTGAAGACGGTGTCGAGCCATATCACCAATTGTTTGTTTCTAGCCATTGGCTTTTAGCATCCCGACGACCCCAATCAGCAAGCCTACACTTCCCTAAATGTCCCAGATCAGTTGTCAAGGACTTCATGGATTGGTACCAAATTTTGGTTTGACTACGCCTAATTCTTTTCTGGCTTAACCCTCTGTCGACTAATATTCCTCATCGAGGAGGGCAATGGCTTGGAATGTGCAACACGTGTCCCAACCATCTCAATTGATGTAGCTTCATGACCTCGTCGATTGATTTCTGCTCCCTACTTAACGCTCTACTCCCGGCCGGACACACATCTAACATCAATGGTCTGTCTGCTACATTTAGGCTACCGATATCACATGCTGAAAATTCCATAATTATACGAAGATACTGTATGGAATCAAGCTATAATAAAATAAAGAAAAATAAAGAATAAAGAATTACTCACTGTAGTATACCACTGTAGGTATGCGGTAGAATGCAAGCATCTTTGGTCATAGACAGCTAGCCTTTTCATATCATCCACTTTTCAATGCCCATGTCTCACAACCATGAAGGAGAACGGAGTGTGAACTATTTCGCAGTACACACACACGTCCTGTGATTCTATAGTTAGCTGGTTATCACGTCTACACCAGAGATGATGTAGGCTGGAAAATACTGCAGTAACTTTTTGTATTCATGCTGAGATTTATTCACCAATCAGTCCGTTGGGGCTGAAGCAACTTCTCGAATAAGTGAAGTAATCAATAGGCTCTACCACTTCACTCCCAATCTTTAAGATGGGATTCGTCACAGCCATGTCTTACAATATCATCCGTATGCTGTAAGTTAACAAGACTTCCATGGTAAGAAGTAAATCCCTAAGTTGCTAAATTCAGTTAGCATGAGTTCCATGAGTCATTGAGTGGTACAATAATCAGTACATTAGTAGCATGGAGATATTTTACAGAAACTAATTTTACTTAACTAATCTCCACCTCCAGTAGTGATAATACTAGTTGGATATGAAACTGATTAACAGATCTTCATTTGTCGGTCAGTTCATGGTTTATTCCGAAGCATATATGGTTCTGTAAACATGTTGGTTCTTCAGTAATAGTCTATGTAGTCTCGAAATAACCGAAGATATATAAGGATTAGTCGACATGCGACTATCCTTTTGATTTCATCACTGACCCTCACATAGAGGCATAGCTGATCACTTTGTTTTTTTGATCTTTGGTTTTTTCACTACTGAAACAAATAATAAGTAACACAAGGCTGAATATGGATTATTTCAATAAATTTATTAGTTTTATTAGTTGATGAGATACAACAGAATTGTGAGGAAGATAAATCTGTCTGCGGACGCGGTAATCTAGTAGTTCTCTGGAAATAAACATTATTCAGAATATTTATTTTCTCATTTTAAGGGTGACTTGCAGTTCTCATCAAATATTTATAACTGACTTCATTTAATCCGTCATCTATAGGGTCCACATAAGGCGTCTAACTTTGTTTTATGACCCCCGTTATCCACAACCGAACTAAAAACCTGCTTATACAAGGCGAATAATAGTAATTCACTATGAAAAAAGCTAGTTAGGATAACTGAAACTGCTTTGGATAGTCATATAGAACAGACGCGTATTGTAAGGTGGAATAACAGACTATTACACGATACATCCATTCAGTGTTAAGTCTCCCTATATCACTTTGACGCTCTCAAAGTTGTCAATGCATTCAGTTGTTTTTCGTCCTCACTTTTAAAGGTTGAACCAGTCCTTCATCGAGTCATCTGACATCTACATGTTTATAATACACATGCGCAACATAAATATTCTTCGCTGCAAGACGTTGAGACTAGATTTTGTCTGTGTTTTAGTGCTTCCTTTTATTTCTATCATGGTAGAATAACTCTTTCAGGAGGAGCTTGAGGTCTTTGTAACGACTGAGACCGACTCACTTTCGTCTGAATTCAGGAAACTGATCTTTAAGTCTTACCCTTACAGCTAGCCAGAACTTACTTGAGTTGCGCGCAGTACAAAAATTTCCCGACGATAATAAAAAGACAGTTATTTGCAATAAAATCTACGTTACTGTTCAACTACCATAATATACCTCAACAATGCTGTTAGGCACCCATACAGATACAATAGTTTCTGCAGTACAAAATAAATACTACTTAACAGAATTATATTTAGTCACAATCACCCATTTAAAGTATCTGAAATCAAACTCTGTCCACAAGAACCACACACCAAATAATTCTTGCACGCACTCCTAGGTCAGAATGACCATGACTCACTTAAACAAAACAATATCAAAATTATCGATTAAACAGAGACATAGATAAATAATAAGGATCAAGTCAACACGTATGATATGCAAATGTCAGAACAATGATATATACACAGTCTAGAAGAGAAAAAAAATAACGGTTATTAATTACATAGTTATTTGAAACACCCGTAGGCCATTGAGTTCAGGTCCTAGTGATTAAATGGCCTACAAGCTCAGCTTGTAACAAGAAGACCCTGAATTTCAAAACCCGATGGGTGCGCCGTGCGTACTGTTGATGAGTCCGAAATTGGGACGAAACAGCTGTCCAGTACTTCCTGTTGGTTTTCAGTAGTTTTCTAACTGATATCAATCTATGATCAAAACTTGATCTAAATAAGTATCAATATTGTAATGAGATCGTTCAGAAGGGAATTTCGAAACAGTCATTATTCCGTTACTGTCTTATATGATTTTTTTTCCTCCTAATATTTATAGTATAATAAATGTGTATTAACCTTGTACAGTTACATGTATGCACACGAATTATGACCTTCCACAGGAAAAATAGATATTTCTGTGGTGTAATTATTCAAGTATTCTTGATTGGGTACTAATGGACTTGAACAACTAAATTTTTATTTAACCTTCATTTAAAATCGACTTTATTTTACAACCTTACACTTGATTTTATAAAATTTCTTTATATCTTCAAGTATTGGTTTGTAGGGATTTGATTGATTGGTTACAGGATTTCATCATAAGCTGAAGTTGTTTAAAGAACCGTTGGAAAACCAGTTGGGAGTACTGGATAGCTGTTTCGTCAGCCTAGTTTGGGACTCTTCATCGGGTCTCAGTGGCTTAATGGTCTATGAGCTAGCTCACCTTGTAACCAGAAGGTCCTGGGTTCAAACCCAGTAGGGATGGGTGCATACTGATAAAGAGTCTCAAACTAGGCTGACGAAACAGCTAGCTGTCCAGTACTGCCACTGGTTTTCCAATGGTCCCCTAACCGATATCAGTTCTTTATATCAGTTCAGGACGCTTGCCGACCATGCACATGGTCCGGGGTTCGGTCCCCGGCCGACGCACTCCCTTACCTCACTGAGCCAGAAATAATGCTGGTAAAGAGGAAAGGTTGGGCATGAGGCTAGCAACCCCATCCTGTAAAATAAACACTACTACCGAAACTTCAAGCCACTAGCTTGGAAAAAATATATCAGTTCAATAATCACCCTTAATTATTCCTCTATTGTAATAGGTTTAGGGTGTAACTGTTTTGAGTTCATTAGTAGTGAATACTCCTCACCTAATTCATAGAAGTTTTATATATGTTTGTATATATGATGATAATTTCAACTCATTTATTTTCTACTGGTATGAATATAATATTTATACATGCTAATTGGTTGTTAGTATCAATTTTTTGTTTCATTATGTGTATTCATATACACACCAAAGTATTTAACTATAATTCACTAATTGTATATATATTATATATATATGCATGAACTATTTTATATATATTTCTTTTGTTTAGAGTTTATTCTTTAGAGACGCTGGAATTATTTTGTCAAATACCTGCTCATGATAATGAAATTTTATCATTGAACTTTTTTCGATCACATTCAGGTGAGTTATTATGTGAAACGCACTCGATATTGTTTTTTCTTTTAATAGTCAGTTTATTCTTATTATCAGTAATTAGTTTATTGAGGTTATAATACATTCGATATTGGATATATAAATATGGAATGATTGTTAATAATGAAATTATTTTTTACATAAGTCTACCTTGTGTGTAGGTAGACTGAATTCTGGAGTGTTAAGATAAACGGATGGGCAAATAATTAAAACTTTGTGCGCCATCCTATGAGGTTGCATGGTTTTCAAGGAGTTATGTGAATCTCAAAGTGTAAAACTCTCTGGTTTGAACTGGTATATATCTGATAAATGTTTATATTTCAGAAGACTGATGACTGGACAGAGAATATTCTTTTCGATAATTTCTTTATCAGGTTCTATAGTTATATATACATATTTAGTTAAGGCATAATCTTTATTCTTGTTATTACTATTCACTTAGTTTCCAGTTGGAACAAAAGGCTTCAATAGCACATCTTCACTTTCTTAAATTTTCAGCTGTCCTTTTCATCTGGGTCCACGATTGCCCATAATCTCTCATCTCCTCCTCGCCACACGATCTCCTCCATGTCACCCTTGAAGTGGTGACCCACTCGTCGCTTCCCATATGGATTCACTCGAGGATTTTCTTGCCACACGATGTCATCTGATGGTTTCCTTAATGTATACCCTATCCATCTCCATTTTCTCCGACATATTTGTTGAACGATCAGCTCTTCTTTAGTTCGTCACCTTCTACACTTTCTAGTTGCTAATTCTTTCTGACCCGCCAACCTGCCGTTCGATCTACAGTCAACGAAGGTGGCAGCTGTTGATAAAAGTCTGCAGCAGCCTGTTGAAAATGGTCTTCGTGACACGCAGTGCAAGTTTCTGACCAATATAGAAGAACTGACTTACTTCACATTTGTGTCGGATGGAATCCGAATTTCTTTCTTTATGCTGAGGCAGAATGCAGAAGGTTTCCAAACTGGTTTCAGCATGGTGAAAGCTTTCAGATTTTGGCTGGCTTGGAAATTTTCAACCGTTCCCAGTGGCTGTGGTTGAAACCGTGCCTCTTGGCCAGATATGTGAAGGACTTAACCGCTTTCAAATCTCTCTCAATGATGGTGATTGATGCCGGTTGTTGTTGCTGTTGGTTGTTTTTTTGTTATCTTCATCACCTCCGTCTTCTTGATGTTCACTTGGAGTCCTGTCTTCGCTGGCTGCTACTTCAGTCAGTTTATTGGTTTTCGCCCGGTTGGAAGTCTTCGAATTTGTGTGAAATTAAATATAAATCATCCCTGCATGAAATCTAGATCTTCTAGAATCTTCTCACCAGCGGTCCAGCGTATTTCTGTCCTCTCACTTCTAATATTACAGTCTTCCGTATAATCCAGTCCACCAAAATTAGGGATATCATCGGTGGTAGTAGATAGCCCTGTTTTACTCCTGTATTCTTTTTGAAAGTCTTGCTGAGTTGGGAACATGTTTTTTTTTGCAATAACATTGAGTCATTAAGATCAACAATCCAAGAGGAGAGATTTGTGAGTAAATCGTTACCAGGTAGATTACCGTTCACCTTTTTTTCTCAACTATCGATCAAAAGGCATATATACTGTGAAGCAGTTCTTTCTGTCTTCCTTCATGGCTATGAGATTACAAGAAGATATGAAAAGGCTAGCTCTGTTTGATCATAGGCATGTCTGTGTTTTACTTCGTATGTTAAATAGTATAATATATTGAGTAATGTTGAGGTTTGATGTAGAGTGCTCTAGGTAAGTAAGGAAGGTCAATCGATGATGTTGTGAAGGCGAGTTGAATGAGATGGCTAGGGTATATGTGTGTTGCACATGGCAAGCCATACATAACCCTTCTTGGCAAACAATGGTAACTGAGATGAGTTTAGGTTGAAAAAGAGTTGAGAGTGGATTTTGCAATAATATATTTTCAAATACAAATGTGTCTAGTCAAAGGGGATTATATCAAATTAAACTGACAAGATTGAAGTTGAAATGTATTAAATCTGCACAAGTTATATTGTCTTAATACAGTGATGGTTTATTAGGCAATCGCTTATTGTATAGTTTGCATGATAGGATAATTTTTTTTTTTGATGAGTAGTGACTGATGACGTTTCAATCACACTGTACTGCTCATAACCATGTCAATTTTTGTCCACATAACAAGAAGTTGTGTTCAGAGTTTCATCAAATAAATAAATAATGTTGTATCATTGTGTATTTTCTCATATAAAATTATTCTCCATGGAATTTTACCCTATGACAGTACCTGAATTCTGTTCTTTTACTGTATACATTGTTGACAAATGGATAGGTAATTAAAATAGTAGGCAAAATGAGTAGTTATCAGATTAGTTAGAGGCAATTGACAGGAATCCTTGCCTGACCTATGTTTCGTGCTACTTTGGCACTCCCAGTCAGCAAGGAGTATCTGCAACTTTGAAGGAATTCAGGTCCCTTCTGAGTTTTGAAACCGGGTCATCCATTGACTATATTGCAAACTTTACTGATGTAATTCAGTCTGCAGCAAACAAAGAACTAGATACGTGACAATAGTTAGTGTCCAATAAAAGTGAGTAGTTGTTATCCACAGCTGAAGGTTAACAATCATGTTAATTTTCTACTTTCTCACTTTACTAAAATCTTCAAAGCTATTAATTGTTATGTAATCTAATTCACTTAAAAAAAGAATAATGAACTATCTTTTATCGATTTGTGTGGAATAGCAAAACATCATGTTGATGTCTTCTTGTTGTGTCAACATGCGTAAAAACTATTATTTGTTGTTGTTTATGTCGATATACTGTTCAACCAATCAATAACCAATTGTGTGAAGCAGCATAAAACAGTTACTTACAATCCCCCTGGGCAAGGAAATTAGCATTGCATTACACATAATTGCAGCAATTTGTTATCTTTTTACTAACGTAACATCACATTACAGTCTATCTATGTACCATCATGATTATTCTGAATTATTTTTCGACATTTTATCTCTCTAATAAACTAAAGTATGTCAAAATTGTATTTCATACACTATGTATGCACTTTCATTATTCAGACAGTAAAGTAGTTGACAAGATACTGACAAAATAAAATGGATCTACTGTACTCCTCCTCCATATGATGTTATTGCCTTGTTGTTCAAAGTTAGATACATTTATTTCAACACTTTATAAATAGATCTAAGTATTTTGAGTTTAATCGATTTCGGTCAGAGATAAATACAAGCATGTTTGTGCACTTAAATTTGATTCACAATTCTATTATGTGGACTAAAAGTATCATATTAGTAAATAAAGTTTGATTTAGACAGGTTGTGGTGAGAGCAGCCTGCTAGCCAATTGGTTGAAATTAATCTACGTCAATGTCTAGGCCACTAATATGGGCCGTGAGAAAATATGAACAAGGCTGTTTCAACAACCAATCACAGCGAATTTAAACGTGGGCAAATATGATTCGCAGATAGATGGCTCCACTTTCCGAGGAACTCGAAAACAACCAATCAGAAGACCGGGTTTGTCTACTTGACTAGGCTATAATAATGTGTGGGAAATTTATATAAATACGTGTTGATTTCCGTAATAAAACGATCTGTTGCCTGGCCCTTGTCTTCCGTTGTTACAAGGTGATTATTATCAATAGTTGATTTGTAAGGATTATATTTTAAAGTATTGGTTTTTCTAGGAATTTCTTTTAGTTTGATTGGTTGGAGGATTTCATCATGAGCTGACATCAGTTAAAGAACGATTGGAAAACTAGCTGGGAAAACTGGACAGCTGTTTCCTCCGTCCTAGTTTGGGACTCTTCATCAGTAAACACACACCTGGGTTCAAACCCTCGCGGTAGGTGCGTACCGATGAGGAGTCTCAAACTTGGGTTAAACAGCTGTCCAGTACTCCTAGCTGGTTTTCCAATGGTTCTTTAACTAATGTCAGCTCATGATGAAATCCTCCAACCAATCAAACAAATATTTTAAAATTATTCTGATGCTCACTAGCGACTGGCTTTATTCATGCAGTTAACCTGGGGTTCTAGTGGCAAGCCGTGATCAGTAGGGAACTGCGGGTTGAAGGTGAGGCAGTAACTCATCTAAGAAGACATTACGAAATGGTCGCGCTATGTCTTAAATTGGCAGAAGTTAGAATTCATGGGCTGGTCATTGGATTGGGTCCCAGTGAGTGGCTTAATGATCTGCTAACTTGCCTTGTAACCAAGAAGTCCTGGGTTCCGATCCCGGTGGGCACGTACTGATGAAGAATCCCAAACTTCCAGTACTCCCTGTTGGTTTTCAATGGTTCTCTAACTGACATCAATCTGTGGTCGAACCCGAAAAAGTAATTATTATTTTATTAAATTTTCATTGTTCAACAAATATTCTGTAGCAAATGGAGATAAATCAGACACACTCTGAGTTCAGTAACATCGCGCACTAGACATATTCTCGAGTGGAATCCGAATGGGAAATGATGAGTCGGGCGTGTAGGTCAAAGATGACATGGGGGGGGGGCATTTGCAAGAAGCTGATTGAGAGCTTATGGGTTCCACTAGGAACCCAAGAGGATAACTGATAAGTCACTAATTTCATGGTCAGAAGTGACTGTTAGAATAAATTAAACTCTTAGTAAATTATTTGATTCTCCAGTTATTATAATTATTATTGTTATTATTTTAATTATACTTTTAACAGTTCCACAACTCGTACTGTTATGTTCTGCATCACGTGATCGTATGATACATATCTTTGATCCGAATAAAGAATACTCTCGTGTACAAACGATATCTGATCATTCAGGGGCAATATTTTCAGCAAAAATTATTGAAACTGAAGATGGAGAAATTCGTTTAATCTCCTGTGGGATGGATAAATCTTTATTGTTTAGAATACTTGAAGTAAGTAAGAATTATTTGAAACTGAATGTGTAATGATATACAGTAGAGGTTTATTAAGAGATACATACATTAATATATTCTGTTGAATATATAACAAATAATATTGTTCGAAGTGTTTGACACTTGAAGATGAACTTTTAAATTAGTATGCAGTTCATTTGCACTTCATTCTGCTTTGCAAAGTCTTTTTTAGCAGGCTTCAAGATTCCTCACAAGCTTACATATTTCTCTTCATACAGTTTCCGCTATATCATCCTTGGATAGCCAGCCAGCCACCCACCTAATTGGTCATTCGCTTCTCATTCGAGTTCTGCACAAGCAATGGCCTGGCCGGGCAATGTCACTCAACGGCATTCTCAACGTGTGTCCAAGCCATCTCTATTGTCTTCGGTATATTCTTTGAGGAATAGGCTCTTGATTGGTTCTTTCTTTCCGAGAGTTTCTTGTTGTTAATTACTTCTGGCCAGGCCATCTGTTCTTCAACATGAAGCCAGCGAAGGAGACAGCTGTTGATAAAAGCCTACAATAGCCTGTTGTAAACTCTTTTGGTGACGCGTTCGCCGTGTTTCTAACTCATGATGAAATCCTGTAACCAGTGAAATCCCTACAAACCAACACTTGAATATCAATGAAATGCTCACTAGCGCCTTGCCCTATTCAGGTAGGTAGTTACCTGGGGTTCCAGTGGGAAGTCGTGACCAGTAGGGTACAGCAGGTCGGGTGTGAGGACGAATACTTACCGAAGACATTGGCTAGTGGTCACGCTATGTCGTGAATTGGCAGAAGTTAGAATTCATGGACTGGCCATTGGATCGGGTTCCAGTGGCTTAAAGTTATACGAGCTCGCCTTGTAACCAAATGGCCCTGGGTTCGAACCTCGTGGTGTTGGTGCATACTGATGAAGAGTCCCAAACTAGGATGAAACCTCTGTCCGGTACTCCCAGGTGGTTTTCCAACGGTCCTCTAACTAATGTCAGCTCATGATGAAATCCTGTAACCGATCAAATTCCTACAAACCAACATTTGAATGTCATATCAAAGAACTGACCAACTTGACATTAGTGTTGAAAATCCGAATTTCTCTCTCTACGTTGCGGAGTGTGGTAGATTTTCAAAATGACTCCAGAATTATGAAGTTCTTTTTATGGTCGATGGCGATTGATGCTTGCTCTTGTTTCTTTGAAAAGAGCGAAGGTTGGGTTGGGTATTGGGGTTAGCGAACCCAAACTCAAAATTGAAGCTTTATGCTCCATTTGTGACTCAAAAGAATGAAGAGAAGAGAGGTTCTAGGTTGATTCGTTGCCAGAGTTCTTTACAGGACATCTGAGTTTTGGTATCCATCTTCAGATTAATTGAGAATATTTGTACTCGGCCTCCTTTCGTTCTGTTAGCGCAAACTTTGAAGGTGTATTATGCAAAGCGATTTGTAAATTTGTAAATTTCCTGTTAATATTTTCATCAGTTGTTTTGTTACTGTCTGTATGTGTTATTCCTAAATATTTTTGTAGCCCTCCAGCTTACAAAATTTCTTCACTTATTATTACACACAACAGACAGTCCAATGAAAAAAAGAGATAAATCACATATAAACCGTGGTAATCATCATCACTACACTGAACACTAATGTAGAGTCTTTTTGCGCATATCTACCTGTCATTGTTATTATTATTAATCTAAATGACGAATGGTTTTAAAAACAGTATGCTGCTGGTCATTATTCAGTAAATGATATTGATTGTTTCAACAGATGACAAACAGAACAATTAGTATTACTATTATCACCTTTCTAAGGCTAATAGAACTAAATGGCTGTATACAAAGCGGCGGTGTAAAAAGGTTTGTTTTGTTTGTTTGTTTTTTTTACTTGGAAATGCAGACTCCTAGTAACGGTGTTATAGTATAGTGTTTCCTTAGGGGGTATTCTTTAAAATCCTACCTTGTTTTTAGATTCATAATGATAATCAGTTATTCGACTGGAATCAATATTTTTTGGCGTGGACGGGGGGTGGGGTGACACTGGTTTGTATTATATTACTCGTGACGTAAATATTTTCTGGATATAAGTTATTGTGAAATTTAACACAGTTGGATCAGTGAATTGAGGAGAGTAGTGTAAACCAGTGCATCAGCATTACTGAGGTTATATCGCCTTTCTTGTTAAGCTATCAACAAAAGAAACACCAATGGGATCGCTCATATCAGGATTAATAGCTGAAGCCGTTATGCAAAGATTAGAATTAATAGCTCTAACTATAATGAAACCGAAAATCTGGGTACGTTACGTTGATGATACATTTGTAATAATTAAGAGAAATGATTTAAAATATACCCATAAATTAATAAACAACATATTTGAAGACATCAAATTGACCACGAGAGAAGAAGAATTAGATAGCAAAATCCCATTTTTAGATGTCTTAATCAGGAGAACCAACACAGAAAATTTAGAAACACAAGTATATAGAAAGTCAACGCACATAGATCAAATACTCAACTATACTAGCAATAATCCAATTACTCACAAACGAAACTGTGTGCAGACATTGTTTAGAAGAATCCAAACACATTGTAGCAATCCAGAGTTGAAAAGAATTGAAGAAAAATACTTACAAACGGTCTTCAAGAAGAATGGTTATCCAAAAAATTTCATCAAAAAGTGTTTAAAGTCGAGTCAAAGCACCAACAAAGAACCATCACCAAAGACCAAAAAGAAATTCATCCTACCATACATCAGAAATATCTCTGAAATAACGGCTAGAATAATGAAACTGTTTAATATAGATGTAGCACACAAACCAGTCGAATCGCTTAATTCGATCTTATGCAAACCAAAAGATCCAACAGAAAAAGGGGATAAAATTAACACCATTTACAAAATAAATTGTATGAACTGTAACAAACATTACATCGGCCAAAGTGGGCGTCCCCTTTGAATAAGAATCCAAAAACACAAGTCAGCCGTGAAAAGACATGATATAAATTCTTTAGTGTCAATGCATACAGACAATTATGGAAATCAGTTTGATTGAGACAATGTCGAAATCTTAGACAGAGGAAACACCAAAAGTGCAGTCAGGGAATTCCTAGAAGCCTGGTACTCAAACGAAAATGCGATTAACAAACACGTTAATATAGACCAACTAATAAAAAGTAAATCAGGTGACCAGAAAGTTTAAAATCCAAGTCAATAGAAAACGGTAAATACATATCTAAAGATGGCTACCGGGAGACGCAATTATATTACTCATGAAGAAATTTAAATCATTTCACTTTATCCTAAATACTGCGCTGAAGATGTCGTCCAGAAAGGTGACGAAAGCTCCGCAACTAAACCAACCAGCTCAGAGAACACTATTAATTGCAAAGCTATTGTCATATTGTTAGTGAGTAGGAAGTCAAATTCAGTTAACGCAAAATGTGTCACTCTACCCCTTTTAATCTTGTACCTTTGTGGTGAGAGCTGTCTGCTAGCCAAAATTGTAGGCAACAATTTGCGTCCATGTGTACATCCCGAATTGGGGTCATGAGAAAAACAACAATAACAAAGCTTAACCTTGAGGAACTCGCTAATCAATCACAGCAAAATTAACGTGTGCAAATATGATTCGCAGATATATGGCCTGACTTTCTGAGGAACGGTCACGAGCAGTACAGAATAACCTTGAGCAAGAAAACAACCAATCAGAAGAGGTTGCTTCTCTGTTAACAATAACACTAATAATAATGTACATAAAAATCTAGAAATATCTCTTGATTTTCTCAATGAAGGATCTATTGTTTGGCCCTTGTCTTTTGTCGTTACACCACTCATGTCACTCATATACCTACTTTTTTATTTTTAAGCCTGATGAATCTGGTCAAACAGCTCACTTCGCACTTGAACACCACTTAGTTGGTCGTCATTCTCAACTGGATGCTACAATTACGCCTACGCTTACTACTTCACCGCCAGATAGCCGTACAAATTCTGTTAATCGTAAACGCTATCTAGCTGTTGCATGTCAGGATAGAAGATTAAGAATTTATAATGTTGTTACAGCACGTCCAGTTCGATGTTATCGTGGTAGTTATACTGAAGATGGTTTTCTTGTTCGTTGTACTATAGATCCAACAGGATCTATTATTGCAACTTCAGGTAAGCTTGCTTGTTCTGTTCATTGTCAACTGTTTTATCGAGTTGCTTTTTTTATTTGGTATATGTATATGTGAGTGTATATAAATAACGCACGAATGTAGTTTTGTAATAAAATTTGCAATGCATTTATGGCCAACCTAAAGAATAGCGACCACAGAGTGAGAACGCAACAATTACCTTGAACACATGCCGTTCATTGGATCACAAAACCTCCCATTATTACAACGTCACTGTGAACCTGTGCATGAATTAAGATGCAATCGCATCCTGTTTAGACAATAGTTTGATAGCATGTTAGCGTTAGGGCTGTGGTTAGGATTAATATCAGGGTGGCACAGTGGTTAGGACTCTCGCCGACCATGCACATGGTCTGGGGTTCGAGCCCACGCCGACGCACACCTGATATCTATGGTCGGCCTGCAAAATTTGGGCTACCGATATCCACGCTGAAAATTCCATACTTGTACCAAAAATGCGGTGTGGAATCAAGCTGTAATCAAAAAATAGAAAAAAAAATAGAGTCAGGGATAAGATGAGCAATATTGAGGTTAGGCATCGGTCGAGTGCTAGGTGAGTTGGAGGAGAAATCAATAGACGAGACTGTGAGGTTACATCGATTGAGATGGTTAGGAATATGTTACGCATGCGTAGCTCATCGCCTTCCTCAACGGGCAATGTTAAGTGACATAAGATTGGGTTGGAAAAGACCTAATGGTGGTCAAACCAAAACATGGCTTCATCAGTCAATGAAGTCCACAACAGTTAGTTTAAGTCAGCCACGTAAGGAGGTGAAGAATTCCTGGTTGGCGTCTTCGGGATGGTAAAAAACCAATAAAGGCTGGATACAGTTGGTGATATAGCTCAAATTTGTTCTCAATGGCTGGTGCGGATGCATTCACTCTTTGTGATTTATAATATCCAATAAAATTCTATTGTTCTTCCATATTACTAGTCTTTTTGCCTCATATTTCCGTTTATTATCTGTCTTTACTCTCTTCTCTTGCTCTGTGTGGTAACTCGAACTGGTGCACATCGGTGCAAAGTTCTACGTTGAAACCAGTCAGTCAGTTTAGTATTGCATGGGTCTAACAACTAACATGGTTAACAATAATAAAATAAAATAAAGTTCATGACAATTACTCAGTTAAATAAAAAACAAAAGTACATACTAATGACCAGTCATATTTAAATAGGTCATGTAGTCCATGGTAGGCGAAGATTGAAGTCTATTGATTTTTGTACACACAGTCTAGGCTGTATGTGATTAATTCCCCAAAGTGCTTCCATCACCCACAATAACCAACCTTCAGTTAGAGTTATGTGAAATAATTGTGAAACAGTCATTAATATTGATTTTGTGACCAGACATAAATAAGTGTTTTGCAATGGATGAAGCTGGATTTCTATTAAGATAAGTCACGTTAGGATTTTCTATATGATTCAGTAGACATTTTGGAACATGTTCTTTTCAAATTATAGTCACTGTCTGTTTTTAGTATTTAATTGGTGGATGGTGACTAGCAGTGGGATCCAGGATGCGCATTTCGTCCTATTTGGGACTCGTCATCTAGATATACCTGCATTCTGCAGTGAGTGATGTTCCCACTGACGTACATCCAGATGACGAGCATCCTGGATTCCACTGCTAGTCACCATCCACCAATTAAATACTAATTAAATGCCCAGACATCGTCGAAGCATCTGCTCAGGAAGCCGATATGTCAACCTGAAACCGAGCACTTCGGTCCAATCAATCGACGGGAAAATCAAAAATTCAATTCAACTGTCTGTTTTTGTACGGTTACAAATTTTCGTAATTCAAATTAATGGATCATTATGTCTACATATATCTGATTTGACCTACTTCTTTGTATTGTTTTCTTGGTCTGTGTGTATAGGTTCAGATAAACAGCTGAATTTATTTCATTTACTTACTGGTGAATCCATTGCCACACTCTACGGCCATTCAGAATTAAGTTTAGGCTTACGTTTTCTACCAAATCTACGGTATTTAATCTCAGTCAGTGCAGATAGTTGTATATTTGTCTGGCGTTTATCCTCCGCTCTTACACAATATTTACGTGAACGTATAACATCATCAACAGCAGCAACGTCAGCATCACATATACATAAAACATCGCTAGGGAATTCAATAAGTTATCCTCAATTGGATGGTATTTCTTTGACGACAACAACAGTATCAAGTGGTGGCGGCAGTGGAGTTGAATACGGTGGATTATATCGTATCAATCGATCAGAATATTCTCGTCTTCGCAATAAATCATCTCTGTTAAATTTAAATGCTGCACCACGTAAACATATTTGTAAAAATTCCAACAGTGATGGTGATCATGATGAAGGATCACGACGTGGGTTAGTCAACCAATGTGCAGGATATAATAATAATGAAGGTGGTGGTGAATATGTTGATGAAGAGGAAGGCGACGACATCATCGACAATGAAGAAGATGATGATGATATCACATCAGCCAGTCAAACATTGCCACCGTCTGAATGGAATGATTCCCTCGGAGAATATGATAAAATTGAACATTTATACGATGATGATAGTGAGTTGGATTCTTATCCTTTAGATGACGTGTTATCAGTGGATAATATGTCGAATTGTATGGCCACGAACATGAGTCATAATAATAATAATAATAATAGTGTAAAGAAACGTAAATCTGCTGTTAGGTAAGTAAATTATTAACATAACTTTTTTCTTATTTATTCGCTTAATCATTTAAAGTTTTGGAAACCAAGTCGTGGACTTAATTCTCGGGTTAGCTGGTATTCACGAGCAAGTAGAAAAATCTAAGTCTGAACAGTTTAAAAGTGGAGACTCTAACTTGAAATTCGAGTTTCTTCAGGGTTGGTGATATGCTGATATGAGCTTCCTTCTAAACGACTCCCAATAATAGGAACAAGGTGATTCTGAGCAAACAATCTTTTTCGATAACTTCTTCTTTTTCAGGCTCTACGGTTATAAATTCATGAATATTATAATACTAATAGCCATTAAAGGCATGTGAAAATTATACCACAAACTATCTGTATTGGGGTACATGTATATAATATGGAGTGATAGTTTGTTATTTAATATTGTCAAATGAACGTATATAAAAAAAAGTGCAGTCATTCAGAACATAAGATAAAGTGTGAATAGAAAAAAGGGTGACACACTAATGCATTCATAGTCAACAGGATATAAATTTCACTGGGGAGTGGGTGTGAGTTATATTCAGTGGTATCCTTGGGGAAATGAATACCACAAAATACATACATACAAACAAATACAATAAAATGGGAATACTGAATGTTTTTACGAGTTGATCACGGATTGATATCAGTTAGAGAACCATTGAAAACCACCAGGGAGTACTGGACAGCTGCTGTTTCATCCTAGTTTGGGAATCATCGCCAGTACACACCCACTGGGATCAGAATCCAGGACCTTCCGGTTACAAGGCAAGCTCGTACACCATTCAGCCACTGGGACCCGATTCAATGGCTCGTGAATTCTAACTTCTATCAATTAGTGATTTAGCGCGACCCCAACCATTGTCGTTGGTGGGAAATCCATCCACACACGTGACATCTAATTGGACCTCACTGTTCACGACTTCTCACTAGAACTCAGGAAACTCCAACCTGTAGCAAGTCACTAGCGAGCAGCAGATTAGTTTTCTATAGTTTGATTTGTAAGGGTTAGTTATGTTTTTACAAGTTGCTCGCTAGTGACTTACTACAGGTCGGAGTTTCCTGAGTTCTAGTGAGAAGCTGTGACCAGTGAGATCAATTAGATGTCACGTGCGTGGATGGATGTCCCACCAACGACACGGGTTGGGGTCGCGCTAAATCACTAATTGATAGAAGTTAGAATTCACGAGCCATTGAATCGGGTCCCAGTGGCTGAATGGTGTACGAGCTTGCCTTGTAACCGGAAGGTCCTGGATTCTGATCCCAGTGGGTGTGTACTGGCGATGATTCCCAAACTAGGATGAAGCAGCAGCTGTCCAGTACTCCCTGGTGGTTTTCAATGGTTCTCTAACTTATATCAATCCGTGATCAACTCATAAAAACATAACTAACCCTTACAAACCAAACTATAAAAAATACTGAATGTAATTTCAAGCAAGGGGCTGTGACAGATATCAAGTGTACTGATAAAATAAAGCGGTTAAATTGTGAACTGTAATAAAACACTGGCGATATAATAAGCTTAGTGTAAGTTAAAAAGGATTGACGCATAATTCAACGGAGTAACACAGTAAAGTAAACTAGGTGAAAAGGAATAAGAAAGACATAATATGACATGAAAATATGGATGATTATCTCTCTGCTGTCCTTATAGTAGGCCAGGGAAGACAAAGAGGATGAATGCGCTTCTTCTGTACAAATAGGTCAGGTTTTTTCCTTATTAATCTGTATAGCTTCCGCTGTAGCTAAGAGACATAGTCGCCTATCTTTAGGCAGGTTGTTTGGTACTCGATATACAACCGTAAATGACTCACCAATTTCGATGTTGTGGTGTTCACTATCTACTAGATGAGACAAGATGGCGCTATTTATTGATTTGGTTACACTTTTTCCAAGACCCCCAGTAGCTAATACCAAACTATTCTATGCAGTAGCATTAGATATGATATTTCGATTATATGCGTTATTGTGGGGATTGGGACTAGTTTTAATTGTTGGATTTTCGTCATGAACCGCCAGGGAGCACTGGACTGTCAGCCGTTTTGTCCTAGACTGCGACTCTTCATCAGTTCTAGACCCAAATACTCGATACGACACCATGATTGATGATATATTTAAAACACGGGGAACTTCTCTGTAGTCTCAGTGTAGGACGAAACACCTGTCCAGTGCTCCGTAGTAGTTTTCACTGATCTTTCTAACTGATGTTGGTATGTAATGATATCTACGTTGAGCATTAGATATAAGTTGACTTTTTAATGGACTCAAATAGACATAGAGGTTAACTGTACTATGAAAACAAATTCAACCTGGAATAATTTCCACGGCTTATTTTGTGCATCACATATGTAATCTCTACTTGAAAGATTATTGTTAAAGTGTTATCCATTTAGTGTAGTGGTGGCCACATTGCAAACTTGACTGATAGAATTCATTCTGGAGTAAACAAAGGACTGGACACATGACACTAGGTTAGTGTCCAATCAAAAGTGGTATATACTATCTACCAAATGGGATGAAAGAACATCACTGATTGATTGATTTATACTTTTTCGCATATATTAGTTACTGTTTACCAGTGAATGCTTCGTAATGTAACCTCTGTGCCACTGACACACAATGTATAGTAATCGATTTCTAATTTAGTTGTATATTCATATATTAATCACATACATTAATTAATATTTACATGTGAAAATTTTCCTACTGAAAGATATTATTTCTACCTATGTTTGTTCGCCTATAAGTTCAACTGAGAGCATAGTTGCAACAACCAATAGTAAATACATTTCAATAATATATGCATAGGACTTGGGTACTGTGGTAGTATATTCGCCGAAGACACTGGCTAGCGGTCGCGCTATGTCGTGAATTGGCAGAAGTTAGAATTCAAGGACCACTGGATCGGGTCCCAGTGGCCTGATGGTATACGAGCTCACCTTGTAACCAGAAGGTCCTGGGTTCGAACTCTAACGGTGGGTGCGTACTGCTGAAGAGTCCCAAAACTAGGGTGGGACAGCTGTTCAGTACTCCCAGGTTTTCCAATGGTTCTCTAACTGATGTCAGCTCATGATGAAATCCTGTAACCAATCAAATCCTTACAAACCAACACTAGAATAATTCCATATTAATTTGTATATTAGATATATCATATACCGTGAGACAGTATTCTTGTTCATTGTATGGATAAAGTTTATACCACTATTTATTGTTCATCATCAATTATAACTACACAACTTCGTTTTATAGTTTTCTTTATATAAGAGAAGCTTTAAAACCTAATAATTACCCTGATAAATGAAACAGGAAGTGCAAAAACAAAATTAATAATAATGGCAGTAATACTGAAAATAATGATGATAATAATAATAATAAGGATGACATCCGTGACAAACGTGCACAGAATGATGATAACATTGACAATGATCAGTAGTGTGGTAGTGTGATACAGATAATGTGAGCCAACTGAATGTTATTCTCCTCACATGTTCCCACAGTTCAATTCGGCATTAGCAAAAGAATACTATGTATGTGTGAACATTCTATTTTTTGTCGTTTGATGTAAACCGAAACAACACACTCAGGGATTAGTTAAAGAATATAAACTGTAGATATATAAACAGCGGTTTGATTAATGAAATATATACCTTGGTTCCCGTATCTCGCCTTCTGTTGTTACAGTAGTTACAGTACTCCCATACAAAAAAGGGACCTCGGAAATCTTATCTAGAATTCTTAATAATACATGAATAAACGTGGCTAGCATTCAAGCCCACAAACTCAGTTAGAAACAAGCTTTTTCTGTTAAAGGAGATCAGTCCTGTGGAGCCTTTAAGACAAAACAGTTTAGTTTATCTAATACCCTGCCTGCAATGATTGTCAGGTCAAATACATAGGTCAAACTAGTAGAACAGGGTCAGTCAGACTAGAGGAGCACAAAAACCTAGCATCAAAATCTGGATTAGTTGGCTCGAATAAGATGAGAAACCTGGAGAATAGTTCAGCTGTAGCACTCACTAAGTGCAATTACACACAACCACACAATAGAGTAGGATAAGATGACAGTTTTAAAATCTAATGTCACAGGGTGGAGGGAGGAAGAGATTGATAACAGAAGCTTTGTTTATCGACTCAACTGCAAATACGTGTAATAGGAATGATTCAACACCTGTCCAGTTGGATATCTGGAAAATTCTACTACCCCTACGACAAAATAGGAAAGGATAAAGAGAACTATAAAACGAAAGTTATGTTATGAATTAGCTGAATTTCTAAATCATAGGTTATTGTATGTCAATCAAGTGGTAAATGACTAAATATTCTCTTGGCAACCTGTTATCATTGGATCAATTTGTAGGTGTGTACTTCTAAAGAGTTTTAAACTAGAGCTGTTTAAAAGACCCTGGTTTTTAAAGCACAGCTTGTCATGTAACTCAATTTTGATTATTTAAACTCTGAAAGAGGATTTTAAATAATAGGATTTCTGATGACTACAAATATTGGTTAGGCATTATTATTATTTGTTCCGCTTGGATTCCAAGTGGCACACAAACTCCTCGGTGTCATCCTCGAAAGGACTCCCAATTCGTTGTTGCCCATTCGGGTTCCACTCAAGGGTTTGCTTGGCGTGCGATGTCATTCGACAGTCTCTTCCGTATATATCGGACCCTTTTCCATTTTCATCGGAGTATTTTTTGAGCACCAAGTTCTTGATTGGTTCGTTCGTTTGTTTGCACAGTTCCTTGTTTCTGGTTCTTTCTGGCTGGCTATCTGATCCTCAGTATTGAGCCAGCGAAGGAGGCAGCTGTTGATAACAGTGTGTGGTGGCCTGTTGGAAATGCTTTTGGTCACGCGTGTACCAAGTTCTTGACCCATATTGAAGCAGTGACTAACTTAAGATTGGTGCTGAAAATCCGAATTCTCTCGTTTATCCAAAATACCTTGCCTTTCCAATCCTGACTTGCTTTGACATCTCATGTATGCTGGCTACCTGTAGTTGAAACGATGCTACTTAGATAGGGGAAGGAAGTGGCCTCTTTCAAATGTATTCCATTGATAGGGATTGGTGCTTGTTGTTGGTTGGTTGGTTATTTTCATCACCTCTGCCTTCTCTGTGTTCACCTGGTATCCTGTCTTCGCTGTCAGCCAACCTCTTCAACCAGTTTGTTGGTTTTCATTTGCCTGTAAGTTTTCGAGTTTGTGTGAGTGACATTAGACATATATCATCTGAGAAATCCAGATCTTCTAGAGTCTTCTTATCGATCGCCCAGAGTATTCCTAACTCCTCGTCTGACGCATAATCCAGTCTAGCACAATTAAGAATAGGCAGCCATCTTGTCTCACTCCTGTATTCACTTCGAACGCCTCAATGAGTTTTTCGTTTTGGATCACCTGACACCTGGTATTGTCGTATAGCCAACTGTTGAATGAGGTTGATAAAGAGTTGGGCATTACATGCCTTAGTGTTGAAGTTGTCTTCAAATTACTTCGAGTTTTGGTTAGGCATAGTAAGGGGGAAAACTATGAACCAATTATTATTGTACTGTTATTATTATTATATCCTTTAATTCCTAGAGGAATATAGGGCTTCAGCTGCGCGTCTCCATTGCCTTCGGTTTTCTGCCAACTTTTTCACCCCTTTCCAAGTCTGCCCCACATGCTTTCATCTCCTCTTCACATGACCTGCTACAAGTCACCCTTGCACCGACGACCAACTCGCCGCTTCTATTTCGGGTTCCATTCGAGCAATGGCTTTTCTAGTGATGTCACTTGATGGTTTCCTCAGAGTATGGCCAGCCAATCCATCTCCATTTCTTTCCGCCTATTTGTTTCACAATCTGTTCCTGGTTGGTTCGCTCATTGCCAGAGATCCCTGTTGCTGATCTTTTCTGGCCAGCCATCTGATCTTGAGTATTGAGCGAAGGCAGCTATTACCTTTATACCTTTATGTAAATTCGATTATACACACTCACTAAAATCGATTTTCTATAATTCCTTGTAACTAATCTTTTTTTCTATACAGTTTTTTCTGAATTTTATTCTTCGTTTTTTTTGGTTTAGTGAAATTGACCCAAATATGTGGGGTGACACCGTAACTAATCATGCGTGTAAAACACGTGGACAAGTGGCATCGACTACACTCACAACTTCAGCCAATAACAATAGTAGTAGTAATAATAATAATAATGGTAACAATCGTAATACAAAAAAGCCTGAATTCTATTTCAGTGTTAGTGCACTTCCTGCTTGGGCAAGAAGAAAGGTATGTGTTTTGTTATGTGTACTAGATGATATTATTATTATTACTGTACTACATGCATTATAGATTATTATTATTTTTATTATTATATAGAAATCTCGTCAGGACCTACTGCATATCCATGATAATAATGATTTTTATAAATGCTTTGTTTTTGTTACAATACTTAATATTGACACTCGATTTCAACCGGTACATCAGGCTTCCTATTCACTCCTAAAGGCTATAGTCTTGTTAGATGGGTAGTAATATCACTAGTTCCATACTCTAAATGTGGCATGCAATAACCTTCCACCTGGTTAATAAGCAGATGTACACGGTTGTTGTTAATTGAATAATGAATGACCAACTAGTTTACGATACGTGATTAACACGCCACACAAATAATATACCATACTGTTAAGATGAAGGATATCTGACATATTCTGTATTACTAAGTTGTCACGGTGTTTTAGAGTTACTGGTGGGTATAAACTGCATTTAATTTGATGGAATCTGGGATATGCATTTCGTCATATTTGGGACTCATCAACTGAACGTGCTTGCATTTCTCAACGAGTGATGGTGTTCTTCCTACTCTGAGACTCAAACCCAGTGCCAGTACCGTCCGTTTCAAAAGACCACTTGAGCGATAAGAACCACTTCCTATGGAATGGGCATCAGTTATTATTTGTTTTTAAGTCAATTTTGATTTTCCCTTTTGATTAATTGATTCGAAATTTTCGGCGTCTGACGACATGTCACCTCCTCGTACGGAAGCTTCGATTATGTGTAGGGATTAATGTGAAGTTACTTCGGTCTCAGTGGGAAGAGTATCACTCACTGGGGAATGCAGGTGTCCATCCATCCAGCTGTGAAAAGTTCCAAATAGAATGAAATTTGCATCATGGATTCCACACTGCTAGTCACTATCTACCAATTTATTTCAAGTTCATCTTCGGGCATCACTGAAGTGTCTCTTATGGGAGCCGACTTGTTAACATAGGCTGAACATTTCGATCCAAGCAATCCACGGGAAAATATAAATTAAACTAAAAATCAATAATAAATTGCACATCCTTACAAAAGTCAGAAAAGGTTTGTAAAATATTTATTCGCGAAATTGTACATCTTTGATTGGACACCACTTGGTGAATAGTATCATGAGTCTGGTCCTTTGTTTACTGCAGACTGAATTCCATCAGTCAACTTTGCAATGTGTGATCACTATGCCACTGGGTGTCTCAACATTACGGTGCACTTTGAGCTGTTGTTATTCAACGGCTGGAGGCAGTTGACAGGATGCCTTGCCTGATCTAGGTTTCGTGCTTGTCGGCAATACTCATCACTCAGTCAGCAAGGTGTATCTGCTACCGTGAAGGAACTCATGTTTCTTCTGAGATTCGAACCCAGTGCGTCACTCAGTGTTGTTGCAATCAGAGTCGTTACCAATGAGCTATTCGTGTTCCCGATTGACCTCCTCCTGTAGGACTTTATTGGATACTTTGGATTGAACGCTAGCTAGCAACTAGTATAATGTGTCTATAAATATGAGTTCCTTCAAGATTGCAGATACGCCTTGCTGATGAGTGCCAACTAGCACGAAACCTAGGTGCAAGGCTTCCTGCCATCGGTAGGAAGCCAACCATTCAAATAATAACAACTGAGAGCGTACTGTGATTTCTAGCCACTTAATGTGGTGGCTGCATTACAAACTTGACTGACGGAATTCAGTTTCCACCACATAAAAGACTAGACACATTATACTAGTCACTAACTGATGTCCAATCACATAGTAGATGGGTGTCAGTTAGATTATTGGAACCTAAAAATGCAGCTAGACCTAAATGATTGACCCTGTTAAATTAAATAATCTTGAAAAAATCTCGGCCATCGCATTCACCTGCATGTAATCACACAATAGACGGTGGGACGGGATGAAAGTTTTCGAAAGTATTCTAGTTAGATGGAGAGAGGAGGAGAGAGGTTAATCACTGAATCTTTGTTTAACGAATCAACACCGATCATTTGCAATCGAAATGACGCAACGCCTATGCCAGGGATGTGGAAACTGGCAACAAAGAGCAGAGAGAGAGAGAGAGAAAGCGAGAAATACGCAGATAAAGCAAATCATGAAGCCGTCTGACTACTAAATTGATGTGATTATGAACAATAAATTCTGCTCGAAACAACATGCAGTTACTGCCACCACACCACTGTGTGGTATATAAAATAATACAGCACTAAACTCTAACACGGTAGTCAAGTTCTGCACTTATTAAAGTATTTAACACTTATAGCCATACTGTTATACCTTCAATTCTTATAGACAAAGTCTTACAGCAATTTTACAGGAAATTATTTTGCAGATCGTGCCTGCTTTACAGTAAAAAAGGTGGTATAAGTATGAAGAAAACGTTATTTTCTTCTTTGACTAATAACGTTCGTTTCTATTATCGAAACGCTCTTTTATAAGTAAAAAGGCCTTCGATAGCGTCGATCGAGTGGTGATTTGGAAAATAACTTTGTTACTGCCAAAGGGTCCCGCCAACAATTATAAACTTCATCTAACTGTTGTACAATAATGCTGCATGCTGCAAGTAATCCACAACGGGAAACTTACAGAATCCTTCCAAGAAGTGAAGACGAGAGTAGGACAAGGCTGGCTGGCTGGCTCGTTGGCTGCCTACTATCTCCAATGATTTTCCTGATTGCGGTAGACTTGGTAATGCGACAGATAGTTATTGGGCCGGGCAACGAGGAGACAGGCCAAAAATGGACCCACACAAAAAGCTTGGAAGATCTAAACTTCGCCGATGATATATGTACGACTGATTTCCCTCAAACTGGAAGATATGGAAGTGGAAAGCAACAAGTTCGGGATAGAAGAAGAAGTATCAAAGGTAGGACTTCAGGTGAACATAGAGAAAACAGAGGTGATGAGGACTCCTGCCCAACAGCAACAGCATAAGTGGGAGAAATCTGAAAGAAGCAACCTCCTTCGCCTACCTACCTACTTATCTAGGAAGCATCGTTTCAACTACAGGCGGACGAAACTGGTGAGGATATCAAATCGAGGATCGGGAAAGCAAGGCAAACTTTCATTACTCTCAAGTCTGTGTGGAGATTAACATCATTCAGCATGAAAAATAAGATCCGGATTTTCAACTCCAATGTGAAGTCGATGCTACTATATGGATCAGACACTTGGACTTACGCCGCGTCATGAAGGGCACTTCGAACAATTGCTCAATACTCAAGATCAGATGGCCGGCCAGAAAAGATCAGCAATAGGGAAGAATCTCTGGGAACGAACGAACCAGGAACCGATTGTGCAACAAACATGCAGGAAGAAATGGAGGTGGGTTGGCTGGTCATACTCTGAGGTAACCTTCAAGTGACATCACATGCCAGGCCGTCGCTCGAATGGAATCCGAATGGAAAGTGGCAAGCTGGTTGTCCGAGGGTGGGATGACATGGAGTCGGTCATATGAAGAGAAGGTGAAAGCATGTGAGCATCTCCGGAGCCAGGTGAAAACGTTGTCAGTGAACCCAACGCAATGGAGACGTTTGGCTGAAGCCCTATGTTCCTCTAGGAACTGAAGGAAACAATAATAATAATAAGTAACAACTGAGTTATCTAATCAAAAACACTTCAAGTAATCTGTTAGGGCTATAAATCCTGAAGAATTGTGTTTATTTCGGTTATTACTCACTCAGCTTATTTTGTTTTCTAATCTATAATGCATAATTCATATACGCTTGTACTATCCGTTTCTTTTTTTATTAACTTCACTTTTTATTTAATCTGTTTTATGTATCAAAAACACTAAATACTGCAGTTGAGTCGACGTGAATCGGTCACTCTTGTGCCAACATCTTTATCACAGGTGAAAAACAGCTGCATTGGTGTTGTTTATATAATATATAATGTTTTATTTGACTGCTTGAATAATAACTGTTTGTTGTCTCTCTAGCATGCATGTGTGTATGCTGCGTATTTGTTGCATGCTGTCGTTCTATTTCCTTGCGCTTTGTAAATGCTGCCCGCAAGTATATAAATAAGCAATAATATACACAGCGTTTTTGCATGCTCATTAGTAGCATACTACTACTACTACTGCTAATAATAATAATGGCACTAATTAATGCTTTTGTATACAGGTGGGATATTCGTCTTGATGTGTGACTGAATTATCTTCCGCATCATCATCATCACCATCAGCAGCAGTAGTCTATTCTCGCTTTTATGTATATGTACTATGATCTTAAATTCTACTAACTTGATCATCTTCCTTTTGTTTTTGTTTTTTTCGTCAACTAACAGTAATTTTTATTTCGTCATCATGTGTTACTATTATGAACTGGAATATTTAAAGTATCATAGGTAAAGACAAGGTCTTTCAAGATTTGACCTTGAAGAACCAATCAGATTCAGGGAATGCTATGAAAAATCATTCCAAATAAATAAATATATCATGTCTGCCTTTCTGGCTTACATTATTCCACTTTTTCTCTAGGTACTTTTTGCTGTAAATCTACACTGTTATGGCTTTGTAAATTACGGTTTACGGTTAAGGTTAGGATTAGGGGTTAGAGTTAGGAGTAGATCAAAGGAACAGTGTCAGAAATATCAATAGATCTCAAAATACTATTGTAATGTCGTGATACAGAAAATGTGTTCCAACTGAATGTTATTCTCACATAATCCCACAGTTCAGTAGCGCATTAGCAACAGTATACGAAATATATTTGAACATTCTATTTAAATATCGTGCCTTGTAGACCAAAGTCACATGCTCAGTGATTAGTTAAAGGATATAAACTATGTATATGACAACAGAAGACAAGGGCCAGGCAATAGATCGTTCATTGAGAAAATCAACACATATTTATATATATTTTATGTACATTCTTATTCGTTATTATTAGCAGAAAACATCATCTTCTGATTGGTTGTTTTCTCACTGGAAGTTATTCTATCATCTCTTTGTGACCGTTTATCTGAAGATCAGATCATATATCTGCGTATCGTATCCGCCCACGCTAAGTCTGCTGTTATAGGTTGTTGAGTTAGTCTTTGCTCTTGTCTTTTTTTTCTCATGACATTAAAGTCAATTTCTGTCTACTAATTTTGGCTAGCGAACAGTTCTCACAGCTCTCTTTGCTTCCGTTTCTTGCCTTCTGCTGTTGCACTATGACCTGTAGTCAGCTGGGTAAATGCATCTGTCGTGCATACTACGACTTCTCTATAGATCATCTGTGTAGTGACTGGGAGAAATTCTTACAACACATAATCGGCAACTACGTATTCCGATATCATTTTTGCAATGTTCTCAGTTCATTTTTCAACGATTATGCGACTTTACTGCACCTGAATTCTGATTGGCCGTTCAAGGTCACTGTAGTTTTGGCTATATATATATATATATATATGTCGGTGGTATGGGTCATTAATTTAGCATGATTAATTATATATTTATTTGTAAATCTTAAAAGATAGAGCTCCAAATCTCTCATCTTAACATTAGCATTGACCTTCGATGACGAAAGGTGTATTCAAAAGGTAAATTATAAAAATTATAAAATAACATTCAAGTTGACATCGGTTAGATAACCATTGGAAAACCAGCTGGAAGTACTGGACAGTTGTTTCATCCCCATACCTTGGGGCCCTTCAACAGTACGTACCCAACGGGGTTCAAACCTTCTGGTTACAAGGCTAGCGAGCTCGTTGACCATTAATCCACTGGGACCCGACGCACTGGCGAGCCCATAAATTCCAATTCCTGCCAATTCACGATATAGCATGACTACTAACCAATGTCATCAGCAAAAACTTGTCCGCACACCCAACTGGTCACGACTTTTCATGTAAAACGTAAACATTAATGCGCACACATGAGTGACTAGGTAGATCAACAGCTGCCTGGTAATGTGACGACATTTCATACCCTTGAGGGTCGTCTACATAAGACTGTATTGTTATTACTATTCTCTTGGGTTCCGAGTGAAATATAGGGCTTCAACAGTATATCTTCATTTCACCCCTTTTCGCTGCAGTCCTGTCCTACCTGACTAAATGTGATTGCCCACAGACTCTTATCTCATCGTCACACGATCTCTTCGAACCTCCTTTTTAGACTACACTGCTGCTTTTCACTCTATTGCTAGGGCACTTTTACTAAGCAAGCTGACTTCAGGAAACACTGAGTCCTGAGTCACAAGGTGGTTGGTTGTCTTTTATTTTTCGGGTAGAAGATAGCATACTGTTTTGAATGGAAAGCGCTCCACTTCTTTGCTAATGAAAATGGGTGTGCCTCGAGGTACTACTGTATTCTTTTTATATGACCTTCCATATTGTTCCAAAAGCTAACTTCATTAAATATGCAGATGATCTAACCATTTCTATCCCAGTAGCATTTGTATTACATTGTTCCTAAATAAATAGATTCTTGTCTGAAGTTAACAAATAGTCTCACCTAAATGGTCTTAAAGTGAATCCATCTAAATGTCATATTGCTGGTTTTAGTTTCAGATGCGGAAAAGACTTATATGAAGTGATTCATTTCCATGATTCCTGTAATACTGACGGCACTATGATAGGGAGTAAATCGAATATCTCTTATCCCGGCATCAGTTTCTCTTCGAACCTTTGTCGGTCATCTAATTGATTAAGCCACTGGGACCCGATCCAATGGACAATGCATGAATTCTAACTTCTGCCAATTCACGATATAGCGTGACCATTTTGCAATGTTTTCTTCGATGAGTTACTGCCTCATCTTGAACCTGCTATACCCTACTGGTTATGGCTTCCCACTAGAACCCTAGGTTCCTGCCTGGTTTTTGGAGGACAAGAAAATCCAATGCCTATGAGTAACTTTGGATTGATACTATCCTCCTACATTGATTGATATATATGTGTGCTCATAGAACATTTGACTGTTAGAAAGTTACTCAGTCAGATATTTAATGAGCATATACTTTTCTCTCTCTCCCACTCTCTCTGATTACTTAATCATTTTACATATACCAAAGGGCGGGTGTACTGCTCATCAGTCCGCTCCGTCCTCCTTTATGGTTGTGAGACCTGGCCACTGAGAGTGGAAGACATGAAAAGACTAGCTACCTTTGATCATAGGTGCCTGCGTTCTATTTCCCGTGTAAAGTGGCATAATAAGGTGAGCAACATGGAGGTTAGGCGTAGAGTTCTAGGTAAGGAGGGGAAATCAATCGACGAAGTCGTGAAGCTACATCGACTGAGATGGTTAGGACATGTGTTACGTATGCCAAGTCATCGCCTCCCTCGACGAGCTATGTTAGCGGATATAGGGTCAGGCTGGAAAAAAGCTAGCGGCGGTCAAACAAAAACTTGGCACCAGTCAATGAAATCCACAACAGTTGGTCTAAGCCACGTAGGAAGGTGTAGACTTCCAGGCTGGGGTCCTCGGGACGGCAAAAATCTATGGTTGGAAACAATTGGTGACATGGCTCAAAATCGTTCTCAGTGGCGCAGATGCATCCACTCCCTGTGACTTATGATCTTCAATGAAACTGTTTTGTATTTATTTATTACTCCTTTGTCTCACACCTCTGCTCACTGTTTCTATTATGCTTTTCTTGTACTTTCTTCTCTTGCTTCGCGTGCTACACGGAATGTGGCGACTTGAACTTCCGCACATTTGTGCAAAGTTCTATGTCGAAAACAGACAGACAGACATATACGTGCAATTTGATGATTATTTCACGTTCCTGTGAAAAAAAATATTTATCATAGTTGAAGAATGCTGAATTTGTTCTAATAGTTGCAGTCGAAAATTATCGTATAATTCTCAGCGTATCGTTACTCATAGAAAACTGTGTTAGTATTAAGTAGTACAAAGTAAATAGAGCTGTTCCATACAATCAATTCCCTTTTATTTGAATAAAGAAAGAATGAACATATTTGCAGTCTCGATGATACTGTGGTGAGAGCTGTCTGCAAGCCAAAATTGTAGACAACAGTTTATGTCAATGTTTACCTCCCGAATCGGGTCATGAGAAAAGACAATAACGAAGATTAACCTTCAGGAACTCATTAACCAGTCACAGCAGACTTAACGTGCCCAAATACAATTCGCAGGTGTATGGCTTAACTTTCTGAGAAGCAGTTACAAGCAGTATGAAATAGCCTTCAACAAGAAAACAACCAATCAGAAGACGTCGCTTCTCCACTAACAATAACGCTAATGATAATGTACATAAAAATCTATAAATATCTGTTGGTTTTCTCAATAAAGGATCTGTTGTCTGGCCCTTGTCTCCTGTCGTTACACCTTCACTCACACCTTCATTCATATACCTACTTTTTTATTTATTTTTAAGCCTGTATGTTTTAACTAATCACTGTAAATTTATCTTGCAGTTTTACTTGGCAGAGGTCTTCAAAAGATAAACATAGTTTTCTTTAGAAGCCTTTGGCGTTGCTTTCAGTCAAATATGTGTAGAAATCTCAAGCTTCTAGGCAGACATAAGTTGATTTATACTTTGAGTCTATAGCAAGCATCTTAGACGTTTCTTGTCTTGTGATTTTCTTTTTCTTTTCGGTTTTTGGAGGACAAGAAAATCCAATGCCTATGAGTAACTTTGGATTGATACTATCCTCCTACATTGATTGATATACATTTGTGCTCATAGAACATTTGACTGTTAGAAAGTTACTCAGTCAGATATTTAATGAGCATATACTTTTCTCTCTCCCACTCTCTTTGAATACTTACACTTTTCACATATACGTGCAATTTGATTACTATTTCACGTTCATGTAAGAAAAATATTCATTAAAGTAGTTGCAGTCGTAAATCATCATATAAGTCTCAGCTTACCGTTACTCACAAAGAACTCTCTTAGTATTAAGTACTACAAAGTAAATAGAGTTGTTCCATACAACCAGTTCCCTTTTTATTAGTTTGAATAAAGAAAGAACAAACATATTTGCAGTGTCGATGATATGACCTCGTTTTATTATTTGGTAGACTCCCTCCAACTGTGTGTGCATCTTAAGCAAAATCAAATTACAACTTACACAATTTCTGAGCATACTTTTCTTCACCGTAGTGTCCAGTATAAGCAAAATAATTCCCCAAAAATGATGTAAGCAGGCAAATTACTTACTGTTAAAAAGAGATTAACTATTTATAGTATAGCTAGACAAGACATAAAGAAGTTGAGAATTTCTGCTGACGTAACTCAACCTCTTCTCTTAAAATTTGTTGATTCATGTATTCTGTCCATTCTCCTTTATTGTTCGCCCCACTTATTCTTTCCTGGACTTCTCAAAAAAGACTGTATCATATAACGTAGAATACTGAAGACTGTAAGTTGGGTTATTGGTGTGCCTTTGACACTCATTCAGCCAACTGACATTATTGTCAATAGGCACCTCAATTCTTGCAAGTATTTAGCCAAAATTGTCTTGTCTGATAGTGAGCATCCTATTTGTGAGTCACAACTCTCTCCTTGTATCTCCCTTCAGGGGTAAAACCGGAAGAAACTTCGCAGGCATTCATGCTCGTATAACTTAATATAAAGATTCTACCATAGCACCATATTTAACACGGGCTTTGTGACAAAAGAGAGTCAGATGTCAGAAAAGAAACTTAACTTAGAAACCTTTTAAATCAGTAATTGAACTGCAAAGTATGAGCAAAGGTTATTATTATTATTATTACATGTATTATATATGACATCATCTATTTATAATTCATTATGTTTCTTCCAACATTCTGTTTATAGTGGCTTCATTATTAATAGTATTATTTAAATTTTATATATGTACATATTTATAAAAGGAGCTAAACTGTTGCAATATGTATAAAAACGCTGAAAATTCCATTCTGTATAGCTATTATTGTTTGGAATAAAGGGATTATTATTATTATTGTTATTACATGTGCATGTCAGTATGAGAAATATCAAGAGCAGATTTTATGTGTTTGTGTCCAAGATGTGTGTAACTCTTCTACTGATCTATTTTATGAAACTGATAACGCATGTGCTCCTCTCTGTTTGTTCCATAGCGTTTTTTCCCATATCTCTACCTTAAAACTTCTCATAAATGAGTTTTTTTTGAGTACTCGGTGGTTTTAAATCTAGTCAAATCTTATCACCTTCCCTCCTTTTGATGTCCTTTTCTCTGTTGTCATTGTTTTGTCTTAATGATTTAGTCTTTTCACTTGTCATAAAAGCATCAATTTCTGTGGTGTAAAGTCGTCTTAATGCACAAGCAAATCTGCTGCTGATTACTGACTGGTTTAATACATAGTTGTGTGTGTTCTAGTCTTATCTGCGTACTTATATTTTTTTGTTTCAGGTTGTCAATACTGACTTAGATATTGTCGGATCAGATTCAGCGAGTCAAGCATCTGTAGGAAGTGGTCCAATACTGCCTGTATCATCAAGTAGTCCTGGTTCACATGAAACTATTCCTGATCATATTCCTCTATCAACAATGACAAGTAATAAAATATCGAAGCATAATCGTCTGTCTAGTAAAAAGTCGATGGATGACGATACATGTGAAAGAGTAAGTCAGTCAACTGCTATGTGTGTATGTGTGTTTATTTGTATGTATTTATATTTAGGTTTGTGGAAGAACTATAAATTAACAACAACAAAAATATGCTTTATAATGAAAGCTTTACCTTCCAAATTCCCATTTACGCATTTAGAAATAAAAACAACAACAGATTGACCGGAGAAATATGCATTCTTTTTCAATCGGTTCCTCGTCATCGTCTGTCTGTCTGGCTGGCTGGCTCTACACTAATACATACAGTTGTTCAAGTGTTGGTTTGTAGGGATTTGATTGGCTACAGGATTTCATTATGAGCTGACATTAGTTAGAGAACCATTGGAAAACCTGGGAGTACTGGACAGCTATTTCGTCCTAGTTTGGGACATTGGCTAGGGGTCGCGTTATGTCGTGAATTGACAGAAGTTAGAATTCATAGGCTGGCCATTAAATCGGGTGGGTTCCAGTGGCTTAATGATATACGAGCAGCTCGCCCTGTAACCAGAAGGTCCTGGGTTCGAACCCTGACGGTGGGTGCGTACTACTGTGAAAAGTCCCAAACTAGACTGGGGAAACAGTTGTCCAGTACTCCCAGCTTGTTTTCCAATGGTTCTCTAACTAATGTCAGCCCATGATGAAATCCTGTAACATATAGTTGTTTTTTTACATCAAAATTGTTTTACCAATCACGTGGTTATTTTAGTTAATCAGTTTTAGGTATAGGCGGGGTGGGTGGATGAAATTAAGAGGTTAAAGGTCATCAAAACAAATAATAACTAATAGGTGTTAATTAAAACAATTAGTCCCTTTGATAAATTTGAATAAGGCACTTAGAAGACATATTTATTTCGTGAGATGATGTCATCATTTCGTAGTTTCTTTACAATACCGCTTTACAACAATAATAATAAAATAAAGATTATGGCAATTACTCAGTAAAATAAAAAACAAAAGTACATACTACTGATGACCAATCATATTGAAATAGGTCATGTAGTCCATGGTAGGCGAAGATTGAAGTCAATTGTTTTTTGTACACACAGTTAGGCTGTATGTGATTAATCCCCAAATTGCTTCACCTTCAGCGACCAGCCGTGAATTAGAGTTATGTGAAATAATTGTGAAACAGTCATTAATATTGATTTTGTGACCAGACATTAATAAGTGTTTTGCAATGGATGAAGATGGATTTCTATTCAGTTTAATCGCATTGGGATTTTCTATATGATTTAGTAACCATTTTGGAACATGTTATTTTTGACGACATTGGAACATCCGATTGAGACTACCTATATAGGTGTGTGTCACTGCATCTGCAGGTGAGCTTGTAGATACAGTTTGAAGTAGAGAATTTCATCCTTTAATCGTAGGTACAGGGATCGAAAATGTTCGGCAAGTGAGAAAAAGAGATGCAGCGTAGAATGTGCGTTTGATGGCTGACCGAAGTCTTTGAGCTAGCTGTCAACCGCATAATCTGGTTACCCTTGAATGGTAGGATGATTAAGATAGCTTTCTTTGGTACAGAAGCTGTCTTTTCAAGATGTGGTCTTTCTTTACTGTGACAAGTGATGAAGTTTTCCGAATAACCATTAGCTAATAAAACGGAATGTATACGTCGAAACTCATCCATCAATGTGTCACTTATGCAGTAATTAGATATCTAAGTTTCGAAGGAGGAAAGGGTGAAAATTAATTACTTATGGAATTCAAGATAAGATGATTCTTAGGCGTTAGCAACAAGTTATTAAATAATCAAGAAATTTATAAAATAACGATGACGACTAAGAAGAATAGGATGACTCAGAAGATTTAATAGTAATTTAATGATAAAAACAAGTTAATGGAATTAACTAGAGTTGTAAAAATTAACAAAGTCAAAAGATAGCTAAAAAGGGGAGGAGAGCATGACTTTTACTTTCAGCCAAATTAATCGGAATTCATCTGAACAAGCTAAATCTGTGTGTGCGTTCAAAGGGAATTTGTACAGCCCCTTTCTCTACCATGCCCAACTACATAATATGTATTAAATTTTTTTAAATGTCTTTTTCCCCTCCCCTAGTAACTACCTTTTGATTTAGTTATTGTTTTACAATTCTAGCCAATTCTATCAACTTGTTTGTGTTTTACATATTTCTTATGAGTCATCCTATTCTTCTTAGTCATCATTGCTACTTTACAAGTTTCTTGATTATGTAATAACTTGTTGCTAATGCCCAAGAATTAACTTATCTTGAATTCCGTAATTAATTGATTTTCACTCCTTCCTCCTTTAAAACTTAGATACATTGTTACTGACATCTATTAGTTACTTGTTTTGATGACCTTTAACCTCTTAATTTCATCCACCCACCCCGCCTATACCTAAAACTGATTAACTAAAATAACCACGTGATTGGTAAAAACAATTTTGATGTAAAAAAAACAACTATATTTTACAGGATTTCATCATGGGCTGACATTATTTAGAGAACCATTGGAAAACAAGCTGGGAGTACTGGACAACTGTTTCCCCAGTCTAGTTTGGGACTTTTCACAGTAGTACGCACCCACCGTCAGGGTTCGAACCCAGGACCTTCTGGTTACAAGGCGAGCTCGTAGACCATTGAGCCGCTGGGACCCGATCCAATGGTCTTTGAATTCTAACTTCTGCCAATTCACGACATAGCACTACCATTTCGCAATGTTTTCTTCGATGAGTTACTGCCTCATCTTCAACTTGCTGTACCCTACTGATCACGACTTCCCACTGATGTCAGCTCATAATGAAATCCTCCATGCAATTAAACAAAATCCCTACAAAACCAATACTTGAAAAAACAATTTTGATTTTAAAAACAACTATATAATAGTGTGGAGAGCCAACCAGTCAGCCGATGATGAGGAACTAATTGAAAAGGAATGTATATTTCTTTGCTCAATCTGTTGTTGTTTTTCTAAGAGCTTTATTTGTGTATATGTTGTAGAACTTATTAAGGACATTTTTTTTGATGTAGTTGTGTTCTCTGAGCTGGATAGTTTGTTTGCGAAGCTTTCATTGCCCTACTAGGGCAATATCTTCAGTGCATACTTCAGTTTATTGAAGTGAGCTTTTAGATTTCTCCATAAGTTTATTAGTCACCTCCCATGGTGACCTTGGACGTGGTTGGTTGTTTTTATGTGTTTTCACACCCTCTAGGCTACTTGTGTTGACGGTGATTGTTTCTTTGACTTGAACTTTAACCCTTTGTATGTGAGATTTTCTTCTTATCAATCAGTGTGAAAATAAACAAAAACAACCAATCACGTTCAAGTCACGTCACCAGGAGAAATGACTAATAAACTTGTGGAGGAGAAATCTAAAAGCTCACTTCAACAAATTGAAGTATGCGCTGAAGATGTTAATTGGTGGATGATGACTAGCAGTGGAATCCAGGATAACGCGCATTTCGCCCTATTTTGAACTTGCCATCTGGATGCACCTGCATTCCACAGTGAGTGGTGATGTTCCCACCGAGGTTCGAACCCAGTGCCTGTCGTTTCCAACACCAAAGCGTTGGGCCACGAGAGCCATCTCTTCTGCAACGGGTCATATAAATTTAATTGAAATTTAGACTTTCCCATCGATTGACTGGACCGAAGTGCTAGGACTCAGGTACATCCAGATGACGAGTCCCAAATAGGACGAAATGCTCGTTATCCTGGATTCCACTGCTAGTCACCATCCACAAGTTAACTTCTAATAACATATCCAGATATCGTCGAAGTGTCTTCATAAGAAACCGACATGTCAACCTGAGACGGAGCACTTCGGTCTAATCAATCGATGGGAACATCTAAAATTCCATTAAGCTGTAGGTGTTGCCTAGTAGGGCAATGAAAGCTTCGCAAACAAATTATCCAGCTCAGAGATCACATAGCTACATCAAAATCATCCACCTGAACTACAAATCTTGTCCATTATTAAGAACAAATTTTATATAATGGTAATATAAGAAATTATTTCTGCCTGTACGTGTAGGTAATATTCCAGATATTCTGATATTAGCTAAAATTTTGTAATTGTTTGATGTTCTCTCAGCATTGATTGACATTTGATCGTGAACATTTAATAACCAGGCTAACTAGGCTAAGAAGTAATTGGAGTGCTTAACGAAATACGTACTGACGAAAAGCTATGTAGCCCCGCTTAATGAAATGCTCACATCGCAGATTATGGCTTACACTCCGTGGAACCTGTCACAGGTTATACTATTATATTATTTAAACTAGAAAAAGCACAGAAGTGTCCATTCCTACTACTCAGAATAATCTAAGAAACACTTTCTCATTGGATATTTTTTTTCTCAAGAATGTGTTAACACCAGTATCTGGAGGTGTCCCAGGTGTAACTATTGCTCAGTCCGCAATCCCAACTAACAATCAACATACACATTCACAAATTAAAACATACAATCAAATGTCTCGATCTGAGTATAAAGCTAGAGAATGTTATAATTTCAGTCAAACTAATGAAATCAGTTCCAGTGAACAAAATCGTGAACGGAATAAAATGAATTGGCTAGCACGTGCTGTCTCTGCTCCGGATACACCTCGTCCTTACAAAAAAGAGGCCCATCATATAGATACTACTACTAATAATAATATTCGAAAAAGTGTGTTGACAACAACCACCGCGCCGAGTATAGTAAAAACACGAAAACCTATTGATAGTTGTCCGAAGAAATTATATCCAACCCAGGGAATTGTTGAACCGTCACCACCACCGCCATCAGCACCACCATCTCATACCAATCGATTGTCTATACAGAATAGACCTAAAGATTTAGTAAGTTATCTTTTAGTTACTCTTGTGTTTGTGTGTGTGTAATGTGAGAGATTTTTGTACCTCACCAGTGTAAAGTATTAAATATTTGTAAGCAGTTGTTCTTTTTCTATGATTTTGTTTAAAGTCTTTTCAACCATCCATCCACGCATGTGGTTCGGAGTTCGATTCCCGACTGACGCACTCCTAAACCTCATCTAGCCAGTATAGTAAGCCGGTAAAAAGGGAAGACTAACAACCCCAAACCGCGAACAAAACAAACGCCACTGTTACTGAAAGTCCAAAGCTCAAGCTTGAAGCTCGAATGTTTGGCATGCGATTCGATCCCGCCAAATGTAAGATGATGAGGCTACAGGACTGGACTACACTGACTCCTAGTTTAGAAATAGGGAGTGAAATGGTAGAGCACGTTGACGCTTCACTTATTTTGGAAGTTGCATCAGCCAGTAACAACAGGTTGATCTCTGAGAAATCTCAGTACGGATACAGAGGGCTAGTTTCGCATATGCCAGTTTACGCCGTCTCTGGCGTAGACGTGATATCCAGCTGGCTGTCGACCAAAGGGCGGGTGTACTGTTCAGCAGTCCGCTCCGTCCTCCTTTATGGCTGGCTGTGAGACCTGGTCATTGAGAGTGGAAGACATGAAAAGGCCGGCTAGCTGTCTTTGATCATAGGTGTCTGCGTTCTATCTCCTGTGTGAAGTGGTATAATAAGGTGAGCAATATTGAGGTTACGCATCGGTCGAGTGCTAGGTAGTGAGGGGAAATCAATCGGCGAGGCTGTGAAGTTACATCGAGTGAGATGGTTAGGACATGTGTTACGTATGCCTATTCATCGCCTTCCTCGACAACAGGCAATGTTAGCTGATATAGGGTCAGGCTGAAAAGAGCTAGCGGCGGTCAAACCAAAGCATGGCACCAGTCAATGAAATCCACAACAATTAGTTTGAGCCGCGTAAGAAGATGTTGACTTCCTGGTTGGGGTCCTCGGACGGTTAAAGCCAATGGCTGGTGACAATTGGTGATATGGCTCAAAATCGTTCTCATTGGCTGGCGCAGATATTATTATTATCCACTCCTTGTGACTTGTGATTTGTTCTTCGTTATTACTATTCCTTTAGTCTCATATCCTTGTTTACTGTCTCCATTTTGCATTTCTTCTATATTCTTCTCTTGCTTTGTGTTCTACAAGGAGGGATGTGGTGACTTGAACTGCCGCACATATGTGCAAAGTTCTATTTCGGAAATAGACAGACAGAGAGAAGTTTGAAGCTGAATATTCCACTGCAAACGCAAGAGAATAAACTAGTATAATAGTAGTAATTGTAATTTAGAAATACTTACTAGGAAACAACAAACTACGCTTGCTTTAGTTTCGAGGAAAACCGAAGTAGTTTAAACTAACCATTGGTTCCACATTAAGAATAAGGCACTATTTCCTACTTAATAAGTTGCTTCAACTTTGGTTCATATAGGATAAATGACTACCCATATAAAATGGGTGTTTAAGGCATCAGTGAATCAGTGGCTGACCAATAGCTCCTGAAATTCGGAGGGCCTCTTTTAATCGTTCACGTTAGACAGACCAGCATATTGTGTGAGAGCAAGGGATACTAGGCAGTTGTCCGAGATGATATAGATGATTGAAAGCCGGCTGATTAAGCTAATGAATTGCATATCCAGTAGGATTAGGTCGGAAGAGAGTTAGTGGTAATCAGACTAAAATACAGCACCGATCAATGAAGACATTGACAACTTCTCTGAATCAAATGTATATTTCTTTCTCAGGGTTATTGAGGTGCTAAGATCCAACAACACTTGGAGAATCTTAGTGAAATAAGTAAAAAGACGGATAATATATAGTCGGTGGGACATCATCACTCACTGAGAGATGCAGATACATCCGGATGACGAGTCCCAAATAGGACGAAATGGGCATCCTGGATTCCACTGCTAGTCATCATTCACCAATTAAATAATATTCCACAGTTTAAATATTTTTAATACACTTCACTAGACCAGTTTTCCCCCACTCGTATTTGTCTACTGTGGTATCATCACTGTGTTTCTCTCCTCTTATTTTATATGTGTACTCTTTTGAAATGTGGCAAATTGAACGGATACAACACGTCTTTGTACAATTCCACGTTGATTCGTCACTTAATTATCTGTTCATGTGATTACGCAGTGCGATGATTGCTTTTATAATTTAGCTATCCAAACTTTTGAAGGTGAAAGTAGATTAACACTGGCAGCATATTAAATTAACAATATACTGTTTCAGGTTAGACGACGGATTGATATCATTTAGAGGATGGAGTTCCCGCCGATGACATTGATTGATGCGAGCCACCCTAAAATTAAGAATTGACAGAAGTTAGAATTCATGGACTGGCCATTGAAGCGGGTGGATCCCAGTGGCCTAATGGTCTACGAGGTTGACTTGTAACCGGAAGTTCCTGGGTTCGAAACCCATGATGTGGGTGTGTACTGCCGGTGAATCCGAAACTAGGATGGTTTTCAATGGTTCTCTAACTGATATCAATCCGTGCTCTAACCTGAGTCTACTGTTCAAATCAATGGGCCATTATTCCTTACCATAAAGCATGGTATGAAATAAGAAATAATTACAAGAAACCCACCGAAAACCAACAATTTGGCAGAAAAGACAAACATAGAAGACAGAAGACGGAATTGATGGAAATAACCAATCAACAACGAGAAGCGTTGCACACATTTATCAACAGCTATTCCTCCGTCGCTGGTTCCATACTGAGGATCAGATGGCCAGCCATAAATAATTCGAAACAAGAAACTTTGCGAATGAACTAACCAATCAAGAACCTATTGCTCACCAAATATGTCGAAAAGAGTATAGATGGATCGAAAACAAGCTGAGGAGACCGTCAAGTAACACCTTAATGGAAAACGGTGAGTTGGGCGGGAATCCGAGTGTGACATGGAAGAGGCCTCTGCGCCATTGTGGTGCCAGCTAAAATGGACCGCAGAGAACAGGCTGAAATGGAGGCAATTGCGGGGCCGAATAGCTCAGTGGTAACGTCTCTGACTGCAGGCGGCACTGGGTGACGCGAGTTCGAATCTCAGAAGCGGCATGAGTTCCTTCAAGACAGTTGCACATAAGCCTTGCTGACTGACTGGTGAATGCCAACCAGCACGAAACCTAGGTCAGACAAGGCTTCCTGTGGCCGATTGCCTTCAACTATCTAATATCAACAAATGGATATGTCCTGTTGAAGCCCTATGCTCCACTCGGAACCCAAGGAAATAATAATAGTTTTAATACTGTGGTCCAACTTATGAAGTCAGTGAGTAAGTCTGGATAGCATTCGTTATATTTTGCATTAATAGTTGTGTTTTTTTTCTATAGAATAATGTCAGCTTTTACTGGATGATTGTTATGCTCTGTTTTTAAAATCACTTATTCTTTTTGATAATTAGGCAATTCAACGACTCGCATCACCGCGACCATATGAAATTCGTGCGGATGATCTACTGGTTAATGAATCAGTAACTGGTAAAGATTGTACAAATCCGCTGCCTTTATTTAATCGACCTAAAACTAAGTCGAATCAACGATCATATTCAGCCACCCAATTGATGAATACAAGGTATGATTAGTTTTTTTCTTACTTTCCCGTTATATTTAAGTCTTTTACTATTTGTGAACTGCTCATCTTGTTAGGTTTAAGATTATAGTTTCACTCTTATCTTAGGTTCGAATCCACTCCATTCCCTTGAGTTTCGAGTAGGATATAGGGCTTCAAGCTTTAGGCTTTGAATTTTCACAGGTGTGTGGTTGAAGCTGCTGGCCTCATACTGGGAGGGCGTGGTTCAAGAGTGTTATCAGACAGGAATTGAATCCGGACTATGTGAGTGGTTTAGCCAACATTCTATTTTTGAACCACTAACTCCCACTTCTTACTATCTGGCTTAAAAAGATTGTTGCGCCTTACTAATTGGTCTTGTCAAGCAATCTAGTTCAGCGAATGTCTTCGGTTCTTAGTGGAAAAAGAGGATATTAATTAAAACTTTATTTGTAAATGAATTTTGGAGACAATGAAGCTAACATCGAAACTAGGAGAACTGTCTGCTAGGCAAATCGGTAGACAGTAATTTATGTCAATGTTTGTATCCTCAATATTGGTCGTGAGAAAAATAACAACAAAGACTGATTCAACAACCGACCAAAGCAGACAGTTAGCATATAGATGATCTGACGTTCAAGAAACAGCCATAAAGAGAAGAAGGATTAACTTTCAGTGAGAAACCACCAATCAGAAGACTGTGTTTTTCTGCTAACAAAAATCTATAATAATGTACATGAAAATCTATGAATATGTGTTGATTTCCTTAATAAACGATCTGTTGCCTGGCCCTTGTCCTCTATTGTTACAATACTACTATACTTGTGTCTGTTTCTAGCTATCAAATTAGTATCAATCAAAAGGGTTTGTGAATTATTACTCAATCATTTCCCTGGAAATGGGATTTAAAAATAGATGAATTTAATTTATCAGAGACGAAAACTCTGACAAATGTCCAGTCATGTCTTTTCATATATGAATATAATTTTCTCAGTTGTTTTGCAGAGAATCAATAGATTTTATAAACAGTTTCCTCTACTTAACTCTTCACTACTCTGTGATGAAAAAGTCCAGTGCTGTCTCTCTTTTTTTATGAGGAACATGCTTCCATCCAATCTACGGTGAATAAACACTGGTCCCCCCCCCTTCCAAGACGCTATAATTTGATCTCAGCAGCTTCTATACCATCCACTGTTTACTGTCCCTAGAACAAATGGGTGGGAAAAAGAGGATGGGTAGTCAGTCTAAGACGCGTAGTGCTTTGGTTTGTATTTGGTTAGCCTGTATTGATGCATCAAGACTCCCAGAATGACGTCTGGAAAACCATCTGAATCAGTGGTTTTGATCTGGATAAAATATTTCTGGGATTTGAATGAGTTTCCTTCTCTCTTATCCTTCTAATAATATAGTGTGAAGTGATGGACACTTCACTGAATCCTCTTGATGAGTTTGCTTACTTGATCAATTCTGTTTCTCCTGTTTCTGTAACGCCAGTAGATAAGAGAATTGATAACGGAGCTTTTTGAAGGAAGAACACATCATCATTTATGCATTTTTAACCATCACATTAAATTTTAGCTAGGTCAGTGGACAATAAATCTTTCTGACTGGTTGGCGTTTACCCCAAGGTTAAAAAATGAGATGAAAAGTTGTCCAATAAAATTATTTCATATCGAAATTGTAAAGAAGATCCAGATTTGAGGAAGAAACACTTCTGCCTTTTCAGCCATTGGCTTAAAATGTTGATTTCAATTTTGGCTGTTTCCTATTGAGATCTGCATGTATATACTACTTATAAATTTTGTCAATAGCACACGCCACATTCCTAATATATTTCAATATAGCGAAAATAATCATTCAGACATCTATAAAACCCAAAACAATCGAGCAAAGAATATTCTTTTCGATAAATTCCTCTTCTGGCTGTGTAATTTTGTATATATGCTTATAAACATAGAATATTCTCGAATAGTAGTCAATAACAATATCGACGTGTTTTCTTAAATAATATCGATTTGTAAAGTAAGATCAATGTAATTACAGTTCATTAAAGATACTTAAATTATAATAATAATAAAGATATAATATCAGCTAAAATTAGGAAAATTCCACAAAAATTGAGGATCATTCAAACCTAAATGGCCAAGGTAAGGATAACGTCTGAACTAACTTCTTTTGGATTCATAAATTAGGCTTGTTAATATGGATCCCAACAGCCAGCCTCAGCAATATTCAGTAATCGAACTCTTAAGGCGAAATTGAGATTTATTGGTATGCGGTAAATGACCCTGAAAGCCTGGTTAATATCAATCTTGTGTTCTGTATCCACAAGATGAGATAGAATACCGCTGTGAATAGATTTTGTATGTCCTTTGCTTAACCAGGCAGAGTGATGTTCGGAAATTTGACGGGAAACACGCCTAATTGTACGACCTATGTAACTGGCACCACAGGAGCAGTTAAATTGGTAGATACACATGGAAGAGGCGAAATTAGGCAGTTTGTCTTTTACTCCCGAACGCAAGGGAGGAGTGGTTTAGAAGACACAGCGTAATTCAGCAGCAGGGAATGCTCTTTTTGCCGCATTTTAAAGGCGCTGTGTTTGTATCTCGCTGATGTATATATATATTATATAACTGTAGAGACAGAAGAGGAAATTATCGAAAAGGATATTCTTTGCTCAATTATTTTGTGTCTTGATATATTTGTGTTATTTTTGTGTGATGGCATCTCTTGGCACATATATATTCTACCTACTTTTCGTTTCAAATAAATTATAAATGTTAATTGACGTGAATACCGCCCATCGCCATCATCATCATCATCATCCTTCGTGAGTGCCTATCCTCATATCAGTTATAATGCATTATCCACAATACAACTTTAAATTAGAACCTCAAGGAATCTATCATTAAGCTAATCATTAATATGTTAACTGTTTAGATAAAGAGAATGTATTACCAATTTAATTGTTCGTATAGTTCAGTTGTACTACTGACTATTGAACTTCTGATTAGCTAAAATAAATATTTGGTGTGTTTATTTACTGTAGCTTTTGTTTCCTCACTTTATACTTGGTACGGGAGCACTGAATTTTGCTCTAAGGAGAGGCTATTTTGTGTGTTATTACAGAAGCAAAACACTCACCTTATCAGTCTACAGATGCTGAATATATATAATATATATATATATATATATATATATATCATCCCCTTGGGTTGCGAGTGGAACACAGGGCTTCACCAGCACGTCTCCATTTTGTTCTGCTCTATTCATTCCTCCTCAGCTGGCTTCACGATCGTCCATAAGCTATCATCTCCTCCTCACACAGTCTCTTCCATGTCACTCCCAGATACCCACCTCGTCTTATCCCACTCTGGTTCTACTCGAGGGCCTGGCATATGATCACTTTGTTTGTATGTGGTGATTGAATCACATTTTGGACAAAGGTGTGATTGCTGTATTCTGGTGTGATTATGTATCCTTGTTTTTTTCTTTATACTTGAACAGCCGAAAGTATTATATTCTGCCTTTACTAGTTGAGGCGGTGTAAATAACAGTCTGATCACTAGGTTAGGCGGGTCTGGCCAAAGCGTAATTCCAGCAGGATAGATAGTCACAACAATAATCATTACAGTTATTTCTAGTTAAAGCAAATGGGAAGATGAGGTATAAGTCGTTCGGGCAGCCTAACTAATTGCCTTCCTAGAATCCCTGAGCCCAACGTGATTCGAACACGTGGCCAAGTTAAACTTTATGCACCACTAAAACTACCAATCAACGAATGACCTCGAATGATCCAATGAAGTGCATCCACGTGAGTTCAAGGTTGTATTCCGCTTGATTCGTATCAAATACCTGCTCTAACGAAGTTACGCTTGCAGTTCGATGAGGATAAGATTTTGCAGTACTAACTGGATTTGGGGTTGCTTAGGAAGGACAGGATTTGTTCGTGTGGAGGTGTCATGGGTTTAAAAAGCTTTAGCAGATCGATTGATGGATATGTCCATGGATGTGCAATTTGTTTAAGACGAGTTAGTATTAGGGAAGGCAACCTGGTGATTTTAATATTTCGTAGGAACGTCTCTTGCTAGGTCGCATCTCTCCCTAACCCACCTTTTGTATATTTGTAACTTCTGCGTTTTAAAACAACCTGTGAGAGATTCACCTGCTGAAACCATAAATAGCCTTGTATTAAAGGTTCAGTGGTACCAGCAGTGCAGAGACATCGCCCCATGGTTAATGGAGATAATTATTTGTTGTTAGCAGGAGAAGGTGCCCTCGTACACGTGGACGAAACTGTCTTATTGATGAAAAAATACAACCGTGGTCGTGAGCGAGCCAACAATGTTTGGGTGAGAGGATTCGTGGAGAGAATACCAGACAGAAAGTCTACTACCTTAGTGCCTATTGTCACTCGACTGGTGAGACAGGGATCTATAGTACATACTGATGAATGGAAAGGTTATAACTCACTGTCATCTCTTGCATATTTTCATCACAGAGTGAACCATTCTAGTGATTTTGTGGGTTCCATTACAAGGACGCACACACGAAATCTACAGAAGGCTTTTGGGGAAGATTGAAAAAAAGGATTAGGCCTATAAATGGATCTCAAAAGGGTGTTATTTATAGTCATTTGGATGAATATATGTACAGAATATGGTGTGACTTCCCCATTGACACGCCTATGCTAAACTGGGAGATGTTTCTCTTATATGTTAGAGAAAGATACCCTATGTAACAGTTTTATGCAGTTTTCATGCTTTTTTTCATAAATTTAAGTTTTCCATAATCAAAAATCCCTCTTTCATGTGATTGGTTTGTTGAAGGTCGTTCTCTGATTGGCTGTTAGTGCTGCTTCAAGTTTGACTTTGCTGAACACGCAATGTGATTTGATTTTTCAAGGTGAAATATCCAAAGTTCAATTGAATGGACGAATTCCTTTGCTTCTCTACACTCTCACTAATCTTTTAATTAAGTCTGAAAGTTGTACAAGAACTGTGATTTTGAAATCGATAAGC